GGCTTATCTACTTAGTAGTAGAGTAGGTAACCTTTAACCTTTTTGGGGTAATATATTCCCCTTATAATCCCAAGGGTTAACCTTTAAAACCCCTAGGTACTGGACAACTAAGTCTATCCTCAACCCTCATGCCTCAACCGACAAAACCTAAGCCTTCAGCCCTAACTTACTAAACCCTAAGCCTTTAACCCTAAACCCTCTTAAAGGGTCCATGTACCTAAATAGGGAATGCTTGGGCCTTATACGTACCTCCTGTAGAGGGATTTTTGGGCCCAAGTTTTTATACTGTGGTACATGGACCCTTAGGACCTAAACCCTCAACCGTCAACCCCTGAACCCTATCTGCTGAGGTGTGGGTTTGAGGCGTCCAGGGAATCAGGAACGCGTTTACTGGCTGCCTGGTTGGCTATTTGGGCGGGATCTCTGTGATTTTCAGGTCTGTGGTTTAGGGTTCAGGTAGGCGCTATGTAGGCACCCTAAACCCTGAACCCTAAACCCTAAACACTTATGTACCCTGCTTTGGGGACTTGGGTGTGGCGTTAAGATAACACTGCAAACGCCCGAAGTCCGTAGCTCTTACCTCCCTAAGTTTCAGTTTTTGCATTTGGGCGTTTGAAGGGGTCCAATTGTTGCGGTTTAGGATTTTGGGGTAACTCCACCCGAAACCTAGGGTTTAGGGTTTGGGGTTTAGGGTTTAGGGTCCAAAGAGCTCGTACTGCAGAAGCAAGCCCAGGCCGGGAGAAGGATGTGGAAAGCGTGAAGGCTGTTGAGACCAAGCTACTCGGCCGGGGGTACGTGGTTTTGAACTTGGGGCTTGCCAGAAACCCTGAACCCTAAAGCCGAACCCCTAAACCCTAGTAGGGATTTAGGGTTTAGGGTTACAGGAATTCAGGGTTTAAGGAGTTAGTGTTTAGGTTCAGGGCTGCAATCCCTACCCTAACCCCTGGGGAATCCGAAAAACCCAAGGACTCCCAAGCCCAAAGCCACAGAGTTCTAAGCCCTTAAAACGTTAGAATCCTAAACCCTACGCCTTCGAATCTTTCAGAACAAGCCCCAGGAAGGCGAAGGTTAGAGGTTTACAGGGTGGGGCCCCCTAGTTATAAGTAGAGTTATAAGGGCCCTAAATAGGGCTATAAGGGCCCTAAGTTAGGTTATAAGTCCCTTAACTACAGTTAGTATAGTAAGGGGGCCCCACCCTGTAGGGCTCCGGGGTCGCAGCGTTCCGGGCTTTACGGCTCTAGGATTGTGGTCCCAGGGTGTTGTTTGCATTTACCGTCATTTTCCAGCCTTCTTGCTCTTTGCAAGCACTGCAAAAATACCCTAAACCCTAAACCCTAAACCCTAAATCCTAAACCCTAAATTCCCCAAACCTCAACCCTAAACCCCAAGCACCTAAGTTAGGGTTTAGCGCCTGCCCAACGACGTACATTTCGAACCTGAGGCTGGTCATGGGGGAGAGAAATGGCCTTGCCTTCTCAACCCATACTTGAAGGATCGGGGCACCTAGTACATAGGGCTTTAGGGTTTAGGGTTTAGGGTTTAGGGTTATAAGTACCTTAACTGGGGGTGATAAGTAGTTACAAGCATAGTTACCTTATTGCCTAGAAATCCCACTTACAAAGTTCCCTGGTCCTCCAAGTACCTCAGTCAAGCAGCCATAGCCTGTGTCCGACTAGGGGCTTGGGACTTGGGAGTTTAGGAGTTTAGGGTTCAGGGTTTCGGGTTTTGGGCTTAGTCGTTTTTCAAAGGGCAGCAGGCCGGAACGGGATACTCTCGGGGAATAGATACACCCTAAGAACCCTAAGAACCCTAAGAACCCTAAGAACCCTAAGAACCCTAAGTACCCCAAGAACCCTAACAACCCTAAGTACCCTAAGTACCCTAAGAGCCCTAAGAGCCCTAAGAACCCCGAACCGAGCGGAGTCCCTTCGCACCTGGAAGCACATTGCAAGGCTTATGCGGGCCATCGTCCTGTGTCTGGAGCCGCTGCCGGCTAGCAGCCCCCTCTCTGCCCTGGAGGCAAAGCCCCAAACCCTAAACCCTAAACCCTAAACCCCAAACCCTAAACCCTAAACCTTTACTCCTCGGGATGAGGTTTAGGGCTTACTAGTAGGGTTTTTGTTGGTCTTAGGGCTTCGGGGCTTGCAGTGATTTTAGGCTTTGCTGCTGTAGGGTTTTAGGGTTTAGGGTTGAGGGTTGAGGGTTTACGTTCCAGGCTTCGGCATGTTTTTGGCTATAGGTTGACATGTTCCCCCCCTTATACTAACAGTCCTTCATAGGGATTTGAAGAGGGGCTACTGTAATCCCTATAAAGGACTGTTAGAATCAGGGGGAACATTGGGGTCTCAGGGCTTTGGTGCTTCAGGTGTTTGGGCAAACGTTTGGGGGAATCGCCTGTCTTTTATGGTGGGCCACAGGGGGTCGTGTTAGATTGGACATCACTGTGTGATTAAGTTCGTTGTAGGGCCAGGCGGAATAAAACCCTGAACCTGAACCCGAACCTTAACCCTAAACCCTACAGCCTCTTTTCCTTATACCCCCTGGGCCCCTAAACCCTCTAAAACAGGCGGAATTGGGCAGAAAGATTCCAGAGGAACTGCTGCCCATGATCGCCCACAAGGCCTGGCAAATGTCGCAGTGCTGGTGTTGGTCCGGCACTCGCGATGTTGTGCCCTAAGCCCGAAACCCTAAACCCTATATAGACCCTAAACCCTAAACCCTAGGCCCTAAACCCTACAGGGGCAATTCCTTTAGGGTTCAAGACCTGGTTTGGGGTCTTCGATTCATTTAGGACAGGGGGGGTGACCCAACTTCGGGCTTTATCGGCTTCCTGAACTGCACGGAGGCCGGCCTAAAATAGACAGGCCTCATAGATTGCTTGAAGCCCTAAACCCTGAACCCCAAGCCCTACACCCTAAACCCCGAACCCTACACACCAAACCCTAAACCCTAAACCCTAAACCCTAAACCCTAAACCCTAAACCCTAAACCCTAAACCCTAAACCCTAAACCCTAAACCCTAAACCCTAAACCCTAAACCCTAAACCCTACACCCAAGCCTAAACCCTCAACCCTAAACCCGTGGAGAAGAAGCTGACACCCCCTGCGACCCCCTGGTCGTGCAAGAGCCATGGGATCTGAAGGTTTCGTAAGGGCGGAGGTTCTTGGGCCGGGGGGGGGGGGGGCCTCAAGGGGGCCTCCCTTGAGAACCCTATAAGTACTTGCAGGTTCATTGTACTTACTAAGCAAGTAGTAATTGCACTTCATAACCCAACTATAACCATGTTAGGGTTAATTAAGGGGCTTATAAGTGGATTATATGTGCAGCTAAAGTTAGGTTATCACGTACGAACCTCCAAGTACACAGCCTCCACACCTCTACTTGGAGGTTCAGGGCACTTACAGCCCAATGATTGGTTTAGGGTTCAGAGGGCACCTTTTGAACCCAATTATACGTGTACTTCTTGCCCACTTGGTTTAGGGCTTAGGGTTTGGGTTTAGGGTTTTCGGTTTTGGGTTTAGGGTTTATAGGGTTTAGGGTTTAGGGTTTAGGGTTTAGGAAGATGCTTAAGGGGGCTTATAGGTGGGTTGTAAGCACCGCAACAGCTACGTGAACAAGTACCACGAACCTCCAAGCATCCTCTCCGCAGAACGTCATCGGCGCCGATGCTGCCGCGCGGCTGAGCGCGGTCCTCGCGCAACGCGAGAGCAGCCCGCTGGACGGGGAGACGTGATGCAAGAATCATTCCCCTATATGGGGGTTTCCTAAAACAGGGTTCCCCTATTTGCGTAAACCCCATATAAGGGTCCATGTGCCTATGCAGTGTTGTTTAGCACTGAGTTGGCTAAGATCTCAGTTGCAGCCTTGCAACCCCCGACAGTTGGCTGCTAGGGGTTAGGGTGCTAAGGGTGTCGGGTTCAGAGGGTTTAGATTGTTTCGGGTTTAGGGTTTGAATCTGTAAACCCAAGCGCCAGAGTAGGGTTTAGCCTTTGGTTGCTGAGGCCACTTATTGTACAGTCTGTACAGGCGTCGCAGCACGAAAAAAGCGCGACAGCTTTCCGTAGATCATCGCAAGCCCCGAATAGCCCTAGCCCTATCCCCCAATAGACCTAGATAACCCTAAGCCCTGAAAAACCCTAAATATGATCCTAAGCCCTAAGAACCCTCAGCCCTATCCTGGGCCTTAAACCCCTACGGAGCGTTCAAAGAACCCTCAACAACCCAAAGCCCTCAACCCCCAAACCCAAACCCAAATCCCCGCATAGTCCTAATAAATCCTTCTTCAAACCCCAAAGCCCAAAGCCTAAATCCTAACCTTAGATGACCCTGAACAACCCTAACCTCTAGAATCTCAGCCCAGACCTCAAATCTTAGCCCTTAATCTTAGTAGCTGAATGAGTACGCTTTACACTTTTTGGGATACTATAACCCCAAAGACCTGAAAGCGAACACTTTTGGGAGGGCTTCTAAACTCAGCACCTAAGTAACCGCAAGGGTCCATGTACCCCATTATTGTATACCTAGGCCCCAAAGTCCCCAGTCGCTACATAGGAGGTGCTTTAAGGCCCAAGTATTCCAAGTTTATTCATGTGGACCCTTAGGGTAATCCACGCCCCCCTATGGATCGGTTCAGGCCCCGAATGTGTGCTTGCGCCTGAGGGAAAATGGGTGATTCTAGTAAAGGGACCATAAGGGAATACTATTCGTGATTATTCCCCTAAACCCTAAACCCTAAACCCTAAACCCTAAACCCTAAACCCTAAACCCTAAACCCTAAACCCTAAACCCTAAACCCTAAACCCTAAACCCTAAACCCTAAACCCTAAACCCTAAACCCTAAACCCTAAACCTACATTACGCTGTGGGAGGCCAGACACTTCTGTGATTTTTGTGTCGAAGAGTGGACACGTCCAGGGGTTTCGTCTGTCTAGTGTTTGGGGCTTGGGTTTTTAAGAGCCAAAGCCCTTTGAGACTCCGAAGCCACACACCTCAGCTGCAGGCGGTGCGGATGTTTACCCAGCCTGGGTCATCTGCAGCCGCGCGTCGGAGGCGCGTAGCTTTCTGAAGGGGTTTGCTCTCAGACTTAATGAAGGAAAGCCGCTGCACATTGGGACTGATGCTCAACTCTGTGCTTATTCATGACAGCAATCCAAGATCTTAATAGCCATACGAAGGAAGCAAAATACATACTGGTGTTTTTTCATCATCATCATCATCATCATCATCATCATCATCATCATCATCCCCACCCACCACCACCACCACCACCACCACCACCCCCACCACCACCACCACCCCCACCACCACCGCCACCACCAGGAACAGTCATCATCATCATCATCATCATCATCAACATCATCATCATATTCATCATCTTCTTGTTCATCTTCATCTTCAGCATATTCATCATCATCGTGCTTGCCTTTGATCATCAAGCTCGTCTTCCTCATCTTCCTCATCTCCCTCGTCATGAAGACATATTCGGCAGCCTAAAAACCCTTCAAGCCCTCCTGTCTAGCACGATAAGCCCTGTAAACCCCATAAGCCCTGGAAGCCCTAGAAGACCTGCAAGTTCTGTTTAAAGTTTTGGGGATTAGGATCCCAGTCCCTGCAGCAATCTAAGGGTAGCTACATGGTCCCCCTTAAAAAGAGGACCCCTTCCATACCCCATATATACCCTATACAAATTCAGGCCCCTACTTCACAACCGTTTAAAGGGAAGTAAGGGACCATATTTAAGGGCCCATGAGACCCCGAAACCATAAACCCTAAACCCTAAACCCCAAACCCTAAACCCTAAACCCTTAACCCTAAACCCTAAACCCTAAACCCTAAACCTAAACCCTAAGATGCAAAGAGGCATGTAGCGCCGCATGCAGCAGAGAAGCCTCGGACGCCGACTTCGCCATCCGACGCCTTGGCTTGGTTTAGGGTTTAGGGTTTAGGGTTTAGGGTTTAGGGTTTAGGGTTTAGGGTTTAGGGTTTAGGGTTTAGGGTTTAGGGTTTAGGGTTTAGGGTTTAGGGTTTAGGGTTTAGGCTTCTCTTGGGGGGCGTCGGGTCTTCTTGCGGTGGGTTCCGGCTGCACGACCTCACTTCGAACCCTGAACCCTGCACCCTGAGCCTAAACCCGACACCCTGACCCTAAACCCTAAACCCTAAACCCTAAACCCTAAACCCTAAACCCTAAACCCTAAACCCTAAACCCTAAACCCTAAACCTAAACCCTAAACCCTAAACCCTAAACCCTAAACCCTAAACCCTAAACCCTAAACCCTAAACCCTAAACCCTAAACCCTAAACCCTAAACCCTAAACCCTAAACCCTAAACCCTAAACCCTAAACCCTAAACCCTAAACCCTAAACCCTAAACCCTAAACCCTAAACCCTAAACCCTAAACCCTAAACCCTAAACCCTAAACCCTAAACCCTAAACCCTAAACCCTAAACCCTAAACCCTAACCCTTAAACCCCAAATCTCTGGACCCTGCACCTGGGATTTGGCTCCCGCCTCCTCGTTATGATACCAGCCCACTGCTGCGGCAATCAAGTTTGGCATAGGGTTCAGGGCTTGGGGTTTCGGGTTTCGGTTTACTAGGATGCCCAGTAGTCCTTTTTGGGGGGTTTAGGATCCCTTATAAAACCCCTTTAAGCAAAAAAGGGCACCCTTTTTAAGCCTAGGTTACTGGGAAGCCTAGTTTAGGCCCTAAACCCTCAACTTTTGGGGTTTCGGGTTGAGGGTTTTGAAGGTCAGAACCCCCCCCCCCCCCTCCTTTCGTGCGACGTGTTCAAGGGACGACAGGGTTGAGCTTCTACAAGCTAGGGTTTTCGGGTGGTGCAGGGTGTAGGGTTTGGGGTCTAGGAGCTCCTTTGGGGCCACTTGGGTATAAAAAGGAAGGAGACTTTTTGGCGTCTTAGGTCAGTGGGCAACCTGGCAGACCTAACACAAGTACCCCAAGCCTACTGCTTCAACCTTAAACCCTTAGCAGTCGTGCTGCAAAGGAAACCATCGCGTGGCCACCTGGCCCGTCAACAGCAGCTTCTGGCAACAGGCGGGGCTTAGGCCGAAACCCTGAACCCCAAACCCTAAACCCCAAACCCAAAACCGAGGAGAAAGGTGCGATTCCAGTCAAACTACAAAAAACAGGAGTTCGGGTTTTAGGGGGTTTGGGGTTCCAAAGTTTCGGGTGGATGCGTTCAGGGAAAGTTTAGGGGTTTACCCGCCCGCACCCCCCCCCCCTCCCCGGCTCAAGGTGTTTTTTGTGGTTTGGGGGCTTAGGGTTTCAGGTTCTGATGGCCTGATCTTCTTGAGGCGGGCAGGCAGCAGACCTCGCGGCTTCAAGTGCGAGAGCTTCGGTTTAGGAAAGGGCGGGTCCAGTGCCATTTTAGAGTCTGAGATGGGGGGGGGGTTCTCTACACCTTGCTGATAGATTTCAGGGTGTAGGGTTTGCGGTTCTGGGGGTGCCGCGATATCGCGATTTTCAGTGCTTCGGTTCTCTCTTTAGGTCTAATAGACGGCAGCCAAACACATCCGGCAGGAGGACCAAAGCATTTTAGCATTTCAAAATGCCGAAAGGCTGAAAGTGCTACACATCTTTCGAGCTATGGGATGAACATATTGTGCTTGTCACTGTCGCAACATACATACTCCACTTTGTATACAGCATCTCCACCTTGCGAAGCCTGATCATCCGCAGAGGAGCGGGAAGAACCCTAAACCCGACCTAAACCGCAGCAAAGAGGAGGAGAAAGAAGCACCCGCTCGAGAGCCCCAGCAAGAGAAGGTCTTCGACTGCATCCTACTGTTTGCTTAAGAACTTGCACACATCAAAAGAAAACAATCCCTATTTTGCCCTTATAAGCAAGAATATAGGTAAACTATGTTTCCCCCGAAAAACTTCAGGGCAGCGACCCCTATATTGCCCTGCCTTTTGAGGGTTTGGGGTTGGGATGTTCCCCCACATACAAAAGTCCTTAATAGAGATGATAGTACCCCCCCCCCCCCCTATTATTATCCTTATTAAGGACTGTTAGGATGTTCCCCCTTATACGAAAGTCCTTAATAGAGATGATAGTACCCCCCCCCCCCCCCTATTTTTATCCTTATTAAGGACTGTTAGTGTCAGGGGGGAACATCCCAAGTTTGGGTTTTGAGGTTTCTCGACTACTTGCTTAAAGACCCCCGCCAAAAAAAAAAGAGGTGAAGGAGCCCTATATTGCTCAGGGTTCAGGGTTTAGGGTTCAGGGTTTCATTTCTTTGTTTTTTTTTTTTTTTTTTTTTTGGGGGGGGGGGGGGGGCTTACGCCAATAGTAGCAGTTGGCAGTGTAAATCCAGCTCCCTCTATGTGACAGGTCCTTAGGGTTTAGGGTTTGAGAACGGCAGGGCTGTGTCTACGACGTGTCGCTCGCTGCTGGCGCAGTTGTGACACGCCGCACGGACGCAGAAGCGCCGGGTGTGGGAATATTCCTTCCCGGGCCTGGTCGACCTTACTCCCTGGACCCTAAACCAGAAGCAAAGGCCATGAACCCAATTTGGACTTTGTATATAGACCCTATCTGGGTTTGATTTGGAATTCTTTTTCATGGAAGGTCTAACAGGACCTAGTAGTTCCTTTGTGACCACTATCACCACAACCACAAACCAACCCTAAACCCTAAACTCCACCCTATCCTTTTCCCTAAGGGTCCCTGTACCTCAGGAGGGAGTACTCGGGCCTTAAAGTACCTCGTGTATAGGGACATTTGGGCGCAAGCACATAATAATGAGGTACATGGACCCTATCCTGTGGTTTGGGAAGAGGGTGGAGGGGCCGGCCCACAGTGTGTTGTAGCTCTGGCACTCTGCAAATCACAAACTGGATGGGTTTTGCTTGGGTTCAGGGTTTAGGGCTTAGGGTTCAGGGTTTGGGGTGTAAGGCAGACGGAAGGGTCTGGCATCAAGTAAATGTGGGGCTGTCCGAAAAAATTGAGAAATTGTGATCCAAGGGGGGTTATGCTGTATTGGTGGGGCGATAAAGAGGGGGCCGAATTTACCCCTAAAGGCCGGAGGCTTTTGAGGTTTCGGGTGAGGAGTCGGGTTTTAACGCCCTACGTAAGGCAAGTAACCCTAAATAAACCGTAACCTAAACCCGACCCTAAACCCTTGAAACCTTTAGCCCTTGACCCCGCATTTCGTATGGGAGCCCTTAGGCCCGCCATGTCCCTGGCGAAACGCGGTTTCTAGATGCTGCTGGCAATCACGAATTGCGGTATCCTTCCAGTCGTACCCGGATGAGCACTTGGTTGGAATTGAGTCCTTGCTTTTGCTGCCTGAGAAGTACCTTACTTCGACCATTGCTGTCTTCCTTCTGCACCCGAGCCGCAAAAATCTGAAATCCCCGCATGCCCAAAAGCCTATACCGGCCTATACCCTAAACCCTCCCTATATAAAGCCTAATCCCTGAGCCCAAATCCGAAGGTGACAGGCGTTGTCCGGAACCGCCCAAGCCAAGCCTCCGATCCCGATCAGGCATCATCTTCGAAGGTTTTTCAGACAGTTTGTTATGACCAATACTCTCTCGATCAGCGCCCTGCCTTGGACCTGATTGGGGTCCATGCGCTCAGGGTTTAGGGTTCTGGGTCTAGGGTTTAGGGTTTAGGGTATAGGGTTTAGGGTGTAGGGTTTAGGGTTTAGGGTTTAGGGTTTAGGGTTTAGGTACCGAGCATCTCAAGGCACCTTCTGATGGACGAAACACTCTGCCGCTTTCAGGGGCATCACCGGGCTGTGCTTGGCACCCTCTCGCAAGGGGCCTTTCTGCCACGGCACCTGAGATGACAGCCACAGGCCCCAGGCCACTGTGAGAGACTCGGAACTCGGAGCAGGTTTAGGGTTCAGGGTTTAGGGTTTAGGGTTTAGGGTCTAGGGTCTAGGGTTTAGGGTTTAGGGTCTAGGGTTTAGGGTTTAGGGTTTAGGGTTTAGGGCTTGCGAGTTGTAGGGTCCTGACGATGTTGCTGGCCCCAATGGAGCTGCAGGAGTCCGTACCCCGATGCAGGACGTTGCGTTGGTGGTCCTCCGTCCCTCTCTCCGAGGCTTTATCTCAACCCTAAGGGTTTGGGTTTAGGGTTTAGGGTTTAGGGTTTAGGGTTTAGGGTTTAGGGTTTAGGGTTTAGGGTTTAGGGTTTAGGGTTTAGGGTTCAGGGTTTAGGGTTTAGGGTTTAGGGTTTAGAGCCCTACATGTCATGGATCTGCAGCCCTGAACTCTCAACAACCTCAGCCCAGGGCTGAAACCCGAGAAGCTGTCGGAAGAGGCCGGTCCTAGCAAGGCTTATCTTGAATCCGGGCTGGGTATGGGGGTTTTGGGTTTAGGGTTTAGGGTTCCGGGTTTAGGGTTTTGGGTTTTGGGTTTAGGGCTTGGGATTTAAGGTTAGGGTTTAGGGTTTATCTATGGGGTTTCGGGTTGGTATGGAGGTTTGGGGGGGCTTTGGGAGCTTTGAGTTTGTAGGGCCTTTGCAGGGCTTTGCAGGGCCTAGGCTTGTGGTTTGGGGGCTTTGTTTTTTGGGGCATTTCAGGGTTTGGGTTTTCCTAAACCGTAAACCCTAAACCCTAAACCCTAAACCCTAAGCCGACCCTAAACCCTAGACCCTAAACCCTAAACCCAAAACCCTACTAAGGGCATACTGGTTTTCGGCTCAGGGCTATAGGGTCTTCGCTGCAGTGCAGGAGTCGAGGCATGGTTTCTGGGTTTTTTCGAGTTTTGGGAGCCGAGTGGTAACGGGTTTAGGGTTTAGGGTTTAAGGGTTTAGGGTTTAGGGTTCAGGGTTTAGGGTTTAGGGTTTAGGGTTTAGGGTACATAAGTTTTCGGGTTAAGGGTAACCATACTATGAAAGCAACTAGATGTTGGAAACGCTGACAGGGCTTCTTGGCCGCTTGCCGGCTCGCCCCCCGTGGCCAGTCCACTGAAATACTGAGAACTCTAGAAATACATTCCTGAACCCTAAAGCCCCATAACCCTGAAGCATAAACCCTAAACCCTAAACTACTACACCTAAAACACGTCCCTCAAACAGGCCCAAAACCCTGAAGCATAATTAAACCCTAAACCCTAAACCCTAAACCCTAAACCCTAAACCCTAAACCCTAAACCCTAAACCCTAAACCCTAAACCCTAAACCCTAAACCCTAAACCACTACACCTAAAACATGTCCCTCAAACCCTGAAACCCCCTCTCCACCCTGTGGAGAGGCCACATGGAGCTTCACCTTTCAAACCGCTGCCGCCGAGTTTGTCCAAGCCGCCGAGGCCGCGGAAGGGGATTTAGGGTTTAGGGTTTAGGGTGGGGAGTGGGGGGGGGGGGTGGGGGTGGGGGGAGATGAGAAACCCTTGTGCCCCCAAACCCCGCAACCCCCTAACCCCCTACTTTGACTTCCTAACTGCCTAAAGCTCCTAAAACCCCCTGAACAAAGCCTTTAACATACCCTAAAGTTTCCTAAAGCCCCTAAAAACAACCCAGGAAAGCCCTGCGTCAGGCCCAGTCCCTGGGCACAGAGAACGTCTCCTTCACGATTGCCTGGAGCGCCAGCGTGGACTTCCGCCGGGGGGCCCGGGTCAGTGTGGCCATGTCGGGTTTAGGGTTTAAGGTAAGGGTTTAAGGGTTTAAGGGTTTTAGGGTTTAAGGGCTTAAGGGTTTAGGGCTAAGTCGACTACTTCGGGATTAGGGGTTAGGGGTTAGGGTTAAAACAACAATTAGGGTTTAGGGTTAAGAGCCAAGAGATTAAAGCACAGGGTTGAATAAGGGTTTGGGGATTTAGATTTAGGGTTGCCGGAGCTTACATTTTCACCCCTACATCCTACACGTACACTTGCACCCAAGTATCCCTAAGCCCTTTTGCGAAGTAGATGTGTTCACAGGAACTTGAACGAACAATAAACCCTAAACCCTGAACCCTGAACCCTAAACCCTAAACCCTGGTTACCGGAGCTGTCCTTGTCAAGCACAAGGGTTTTTCGATTTGCCAGGTGCCTGCACTCAAAGCCTTGATCCTTAAATCCTAAACTCTAAGCCCTAAACCCTGCACCCTAAGCCCTAAATCCTAAACCCTGAGCCCTAAACCCTAAACCCTAAACCCTAAACCCTAAACCCTAAACCCTATTTGGGTTGGTTTGGATAGGTTTCGAGCGTCTACAGGCTCCAGTCTCCCAACAACTCATCGAAGGTTGCCTTGCCGCGCCCCCAAATAGGGTTCAGGGTTTGGGGCTTAGGGTTTAGGGTTTAGGGTTTAGGGTTTAGGGTGCAGGGTTTTCAGAGTCCCGACCATAAAGCGCCGAAGGCATCACGGCAGTTCCCGGAGCCCTTAAACCTTACAAAGCCCTGCGAACCCCGAAGCCCAAATCTCCTGAATCCCTAAGCCCCCAAACCCCTAAACCCTTAACCCTACACCCGTAAACCGCTAAACCCTAGACCCTGAACCCTAAACCCCCAAACAATCCAACCTTAAAACTCCAAACCCGACACCCCTCAACCCCTCAACCCCTCAACCCCTCAACCTCTCAACCTCTCAACCCTAAACCCTAAACCCCAAACCCTAAACACTAAACCCTAAACCCTAAACCCTAAAACCCTAAACCCTAAACCCTTAAAAAAACCCAACAGCAGGTTGCCGCCTCAGCAACCTCGCCGAGTCCAAGATCTCGTCCTCGCAGCTGGCCTCACGTGGCGCGCTCCGGCGGACCAACCTTGGGAAAGGGTTTAGGGTTTAGGGTTTAGGGTTTAGGGTTTAGGGTTTAGGGTTTAGGGTTTAGGGTTTAGGGTTTAGGGTTTAGGGTTCAGGGTTTAGGGTTTAGGGTTTAGGGTTTAGGGTTAGGGTTTAGGGTCAGGGCTTAGGGGTTTAGGGTTTAGGGTTCACATACCTTAATTGGGGTTATCGTCGGGGCGACGAGGGGGAGTGGCCTATTGCAAGCAAATCGTAAGCCCCATGAACCTCCAGGGTATATTCTCTCGACTTTTTCAGCCCTCAACCCTGCATGCGGAAACCGAACCCGGCAAGTAAGTCACTTGTTCGAGAAACCCCAAACCCTAAACCCAAACTCTAAACCCTGAGGTCTAAACCCCAAAACCCTAAACTCCCAGAAGCCTAATTAAACGCCTCAAAGCCTAAAACCCAGAAAGCCTAAAAACCGAAAAACCGAACAACCTAAAACCCGAAAAAAAAACCTTTCTTTTGTGGGGAGCCACATGAACCCCAAAAAGGGGGTCATATACCCCCGCAAAAACCCTGAACGCTAAACCTATTTGTAGTTTTTACCCTAAGGCTCCAAGGACCCTCCTACAGAGGGACTGGTACCTCCTAAGGAGGGCTCTGGGGTCTCAATTCCTAAGGGTTTGAGGGCCCAACAGCCTTAGGGTACAAGGGTTCACACCGGGAGGGACGTAGGAATTTACTGGGCCAAGTCAGGGAATTTGTGTTTGGAGCTTCTAAGGGCTGATATGGAAGAAGGGTTTAGGGTTTAGGGTTTAGGGTTTAGGGTTTAGGGTTTAGGGTTTAGGGTTTAGGGTTTGGGGATTCTAGTTTAGATCGGGGTTTGGGGTTCTCAGTGGGCCTCACCTGAACGCTCCACGCGAAGGCCTACTTACAGTGGCCTGCCTGTCTACGTCTACTTGGGACCCCAAAACTAGACCCCCCCCCAAATAGTAGGAAACCCTAAACCCTAAACCCCTAAACCCCTAAACCCCTAAACCCCTAAACCCCTAAACCCCTAAACCCCTAAACCCCTAAACCCCTAAACCCCTAAACCCCTAAACCCCTAAACCCCTAAACCCCTAAACCCCTAAACCCCTAAACACCTAAACCCCTAAACCCCTAAACCCCTAAACCCCTAAACCCCTAAACCCCTAAACCCCTAAACCCCTAAACCCCTAAACCCCTAAACCCCTAACCCTAAACCCTAAACCCTAAACCCTAAACCAAATAAGGTAACCCTAATTTCGGAAACCCCCACTTGGAGGCTTGTGGGTCGTTCAATCGGGTTGGAAGCATCCTAAATAAAGTTATAGCCGCCGTTACTTGTAGATACTCCGGTTATAACCATGCCTGTGAACCTACAAGTATAGTAAGCTAGAGACCTATGGAACAGAAATTGCTGCAGGAATTCCGTCTATTTACTCTTGCCGTTTATGAGGTAAGTAAGAAGGTTATTGACCCCGGCACTTTGGGAGCTTCGACACCCCCCAACCCTAAGCCATACGCACCTTCAGGCCCTGTAACCCGAAACTCGGGATGACATTCGGGGGAAGGCCTAAACCCTCTAAGCCCCAAACCCTCTAAGTCCTAATGAGCCCAAAACCCTCTGAGCCCCAAACCCTCTCATCCCTGAACCCTCTAAGCCCTCAACCCTATATGCCCTAAACCCTCTAAGCCCTCAACCCTCTAAGGCCTAAACCCTCAAAGCCCCAAGCCCTCTAAGCCCTAAAGCCTCGAAGCCCTAAACCCTTGCTTTCCAAAGGTTGCGGCAATGGTGGTGGTGGGCGACTTGCTCCCGGACACGCGCTACGCAGCTTGGAGCAATCAGGTCTCTGGGTTTAGGGTTTAGGGTTTAGGGTTTAGGGTTTGGGGTTTGGGGTTTAGGGTTTAGGTTTCGTTCTGCGGGTGTAGAATGGTTGCAGGCAAGGCTTGGGTTGCTTACTCACCTTAACCCCTAGAATCCCATACCTTGGGAACCAAGTGAACCCTAAAAGGGTTTAGGGTTTAGGGTTCATGTCTCCGGCCCTAAACCCCTAAACCCCTAAACCCCTAAACCCCTAAACCCCTAAACCCCTAAACCCCTAAACCCCTAAACTTGAAGCCCTAAACCCTAAACCCTAAACCCTAAACCCTAAACCCTAAACCCTAAACCCTAAACCCTAAACCCTAAACCCTAAACCCTAAACCCTAAACCCTAAACCCTAAACCCTAAACCCTAAACCCTAAACCCTAAACCAAACTTTGTGGCTTGATGCCCAGTCCTCCGGGGGCTTTCTGGGTCTTGAGGCATCATAGGCCCTTTAGGCCCCAGGGCTTCTTGGCTCTTAGGCCGTCGGGTGGATGGAAAGAGAAAGTGAGGGTTTAGGGTTTAGGGTTTAGGGTTTAGGGTTTAGGGTTTAGGGTTTAGGGTTTAGGGCTTAGGGCTTAGGGCTTAGGGTTGAGGGTTGAGGGTTGAGGGTTTTGAATGTTTGGAATGCAGATGTGCAATCAGGTGAGCAGAGGATTCTTAAGTCTGATGCTGCGAGGATCCTGACCGTACAGGGCTTACCTCGGACCAAATGAACCCCAAAATTGGGGTCATGCACCATACTACCGGAACCCCTACCAAAAACGTCCTAAACCTTAAACCCTAAACCCTTTCCCAAGGGTAGCCGAGACATCAGCCCAATGGCATGATCGAGAGGGCTTGGCTGCTGCAAGTTGGGAAGATCCTCGGGTTTAGGGGTTTAGGGGTTTAGGGTCTAGGGTTTAGGGCTCTAACCCTCAACCCTACTTGGATCATTGGAGCTTCAGGGTACTTGTCACCCAAGTATAAGGACATTTACAACTCACTTACAATTCCTCATTGTGGTGGAAGGACAGTTTTAAATGGGCTACTTGGAGAATCAGGGTACTTAAGAACCCAATATATCACCCAATTATCACCATATTGGGGTACTTAAGGGTCTTATGCATGGCTTCTAAGTACAGTTATATTGGGTTATAAGTACCTTGAAACAACAAGTAATGAGTGCCATGGACCTCGAAGTCTGCAAGCCTTGCCGACCCTAAACCCTGAATCCTAAACCCTAAATCCTAAACCCTACATCCTAAACCCTAAACCCTAAATCCTAAACCCTAAACCCTAAATCCTAAGCCCTAAACCCTAAACCCCAAATCCTAAACCCTAAACCCTAAAGCCTCTTTTGCTCTAAGGACGTCGAGTGCCAGGCTACCCTCCAAGACGAACCCGAGGCAAGCCCAAAGTATGGGTTCTTCGGGGGATTATTGTTGAAGGGCTCAAGTTTCTTCAGGGGTTTAACGGCTGAGGGGTTATATATACATATATGTCTAGATTTCGGGGTTCTGGGTGTGCTTTTCTTCTTGTTGGGTCTAAGATGTTTAGGCGGAGAGCTTGGCGCGTTCAGGGTTTTGTGTGTGTGGGGGGCCGCGTGTCTAGTTGTTCACCGCGCGCGTTTATGGAAGTCCCAGTTTTTGGAGCATGAGTTTGCTCCGCTTTCCCAAAACTGTAGAAGTCCCTAAACCCTAAACCCTAAACCCTAAACCCTAAACCCTAAACCCTAAACCCTAAACCCTAAACCCGTCTGCTCATTTGTGTATATTCTGACCCAAGTGCTTCGGTGCACGGATGCGCGGGTACTTCGATCCCTGGCCAAGAACAGATCCCCAACCTTAAAGCCCGAAGCCCTGGAACCCTAAGCCCCTAAGTTTTTCACCCTAAATGCCCTAAAAACCCTAAACCCCCTAAACCCCTAAAGGCCCTAAAAACCCTAAACCCCTAAAGCCCTAAAAACCCTAAACCCCTAAAACCCCGAGTCCCTCAACCCGAAATCCAAGAGACTCGCTGAGGTGACGTCCGCCTGGCTTGCCGCCGGCCACGTGCAGACGCTGCCAGCGACTAGACGTCAACTCGCTTTAGGGCTAGGGCATAGAGTTTAGGGTTTAGGGTTTAGGGTTTAGGGTTAGGGTTTGGGGTTTGGGGCTTAGGTTTTAGGGTATTTAGGGTATTTAGGGTATTTAGGGTATTTAGGGTATGTAGGGCATTTAGGGCATTTAGGGTATTTAGGTATTTAGGGTATTAAGGGTATTTAGGGTATTTAGGGTATTTGGGTATTTAGGGTATTTAGGGTATTTAGGGTATTTAGGGTATTTAGGGTATTAGGGTATTTAGGGTTGGGGTTTAGGGTTTAGGGTTTCAGGGTTTTTGGGTTTAGGGTTTAGGGCCTGGTCATCGCTGGCGATTGTGTTAGCTTTTGTTGTTCTTGCTCTTGGGGGTCAGGCGTGGTTTCGTTGGTGTTTGGGTATCAGGGTTTAGAGATTCCCCGTCTTTAGGGATTAGACCATAAACCCTAAAGCCTAAACCCTAAACAGGGCCTCGGGCTTAGAAGCTAGGACGCAGAGTAGGCGCTTGTTCCCTTTTTTTAAGGTTTGGGTTCCCTCGCAAAGCCCCTTTAAATACACTTGTTCGCAATAGGTTACTCTTGGGTCTCGGAAACTTGAGGCGCCGGGCTTTCTGTTCTGGTTAGGAGGTTTGGGGTTGAACGAAACTTTTAATCCGGGTTGTGGGTCTAAAGATTGAGGATGTTTTTGGGGTTCAAGGAGAAAAAATGTGTTTCATGGGCTGTGAGGGCACAGGTTGGGGTTTAGTGTTTAGGGCTTACTGCGGGTTGTTTAGGGTTTCCTAGACGCCGAACTCAGCGTTGTAGTGTGTACAGGTCACATAAGGGTTCAGCCCCAGGTCTTCCCTTTATTCACGGCGACGGGGCTTTCGGTCGTGTCTTGTGTGCGCATGCTTCTTCATTGCTAGTTGCCGCCCTTGCGCGCAGCAATCCTCTAGGTTGCCTGCGATGCCGTGCGGAGCTCGTGTACCCCTAAACCCTAAACCCTAAATCTGGTGGGGTCTTGGGCTGAGGCTGCCCTAAGCATGGGTAGACCTTGAACTCAAAACCCTACAGACCCTTAAGCCGCCTTAGACCCCTAAACCCTAACCCTAGACCCCAAACCCAACAGCTCCATAGCAAGAGGGCGCCGATTGTCTCTTGAGAGGACTTGGACGTGGAGCTGGCGGGGCTGTCCCTGCATGTGCAGCCATTGCGTCTTGGACCAGCTGTTGTTGTTTGTCTTTCTTCTGGCTGGCTCTTAGGACCGTGATTTTTTGGGTTTTTGTAGAGAACTACAGCTCCGAAAAAACAAACTTTAAGGTGGGGTTGAGTAGTCATCCAAGTTTCACTAAGGGCAAAAGATTCGTCTTGGTGCCCAGTGGTACAGTACCCTTTACCCTTTGTTTGGTTCTGGGCTAACATATAAAGTAACCAACCACAAAAAGAGTGCCCTTATTGTAATATGGATACTGGGCTGCCAAGTTGTTGTTGGGGCCTAGAACCCTCAACCCCTAACCCTAAGACCTAAACCCTAAACAAATGTTCATTTTGGCTTACGGGGTTTATGGTGATGACTAGCAAGCCATTCAGGGTTCAGGATGTAGCGATGAGCTTCGGGGTTAGCAGGGTCAATTTAAACCCCAAACCCTAAACTCTAAACCCTAATCCCTCAACCCTCAACCCAACAACCCTCAACCCTAAACCCTCAACCCTCAACCCTAAACACTAAACCCTAAACCCTATCCCTAAACCCTAAACCCTAAACCTAAACCCTAAACCCTAAATCCAACCTAGCTCAGGTGCCCGACGAAGACGCTGCCAGGCTACAGTATGGAAATGGTCCCTGCACTCGAACTGGGTCGAGACTCGGCAGAACTTTGAGCTCCAGTTCATCCACGAAACCTTGGGTTTATGGGGTTTGGGGTTTGGGGTTTAGGGTTTAGGGTTTAGAGAGACTCACCCCAAAGGCCCATGTACCTAAATAGGGAATACTCGGGCCTCAAAGTACCTCCTGCAATGGTGCGTTGGGGCCCAAGTATATGTTAATGAGGTCCATGGACCCTTGGGGTAAGTCCTAGACTGCCTGATTAGGGAATCCCAGGCGCTAAGCCCCTGAACCCTAAACCCTAAACCCTAAACCCTAAACCCTTCAAGTCCTGAGTCCAAGATCCTTTTCCCTGGGCTCTAGACGCCCGAACCTTTGCGTTCCTGGTGTGTTTCTGGGATGATTTTCTACAACCCCCCTGGGAATTACATGCTTTTTGGTTTATACAAAACCCAATAGAATTTAAAACAAAAAACATAGAATTTATATTAAGGTTCTAAGGAGAATCTCGTTTTGGTACACCGACTTGCTCAGATGTAGCTAGTCTCTTTTGCAAACAGGAAACTCCGACTGTCTCATGCGTTCCCACTGGAAGATGTTCCCAGGGAGACCTAAATTGAACCTTTGATCCAACACAACCCGGAATCCCAGCATACTTGAGAGAGAGGGTGGAGTATTTAGGGCTGCTCACGAGGTTGCTGCCACTATGATACTTGCTGCTAACATTGCGGCCAAAGTTAAAAAAAGCCGCGCGATTGCAAAAAAAACGAAACTCAAGTTGCCAATCCGCCGGTTCAAGCTGAGCTGACAAGCTCATGGTTGCAGTTCCTGCACGCTTTTGATACGGATACACAGTGGCATCAGCATCATCGACATTTTGATACATATATATATATATACACATATATATATATATATAGAGAGAGAGACCTGACATCCTCGCATATGCGTGTTACTCGAGGCAAATGTGCGTATACATGTGTAAATATGTATGTACACATTTGTTTTATATTTTCGTTCTTCTTTTGATTTTGGAGCGACAGAGAGAGATAGAGAGACGGCGATTGTGTGTGAGAGAGAGAGGGAGAGAGAGAGAGAGAGAGAGAGAGATAGAGAGATGGAGTGAGAGTGTGTGTGTGTGTGTGTGCGTGCGTGTATGTGAGAGAAAGTATTCCTGAAAGCAAAGCAGCCGCGTCCTCCCCCGCCGAACCCACCATGAGTCCAAGGAACCAACTACACCGTCGCGCTGCCAAACGCCGACTTTGCCCTCAACTGCACCGAAGAGGAGGACGGGCTGCGACAAGCACTGCACCCCTTTGGTACATATTTGGGCCCTAAGGCTACTGTATAGGAACCCCTTTAAGGCCCAGGTATAAACTACCTTTGGGAAGTTGGGCTAAACCCTGACCCGCAAACCACGAAACCCTAGACGCTGAACCCTAAACCCCTGAGCCACAAAAAGACCTCAAACCCCAAACTCCTAAACTCTTAAACCCCTAAACGCCCAAACCCCTACACTCTGAAGCCCTTGACCCCCAGGTTGACTCAAAGGGGTTTAGGGTTTAGGGTTTAGGGTTTAGGGTTTAGGGCTTCAGGGCCTCGGTGGTTTAGATACGATAGGGTCTCCAAACTCACCTTGAGAGTAAGCAAGTCGAATTCCAGTACGTAGGGTGTCATTACCATGACACCCTAAGCCCTAAACCTTTAGCCCTAAACCCTAAGCCCTAACTAAACCCTAAACCCTAAACCCTAAACCCTAACCCTAAACCCGAAGTATTGGGTCTAGGGTCGCCTGCAGCAGGCCTCTTGGCGTCTGCAGTTGCTGGTGACCCCGCGGAGCAAGTATGCCACTCGGAAGTCTGCCTAAACCCTAAACCCTCAACCCTGATATCTCGATGACTCCACTCTAACTTAGGTTCGGCTCAGGGTTTAGGGTTTAGGGTTTAGGGTTTAGGGTTTAGGGTTTAGGGTTTAGGGTTGAGGTTTTAGGGTTTAGGGTTTATAGGGTTCAGGGTTTAGGGTTTAGGCCCAACTCGACGAAAGGCAGACATTGCGAAGTCTATGAGGTGGCCTATCTTGAGCAGATGCTGCATATCCTCCAGAACATGCTGAGAAAGGACTCTGCCGATATCTGCTCTTCCAAGAAAACGCAACTGGCTGCGTTGGCAGCAGCAAGGCTGGGAAGTCCTCTTTGCGCCCGCCACGATGCAGAGGAGCACCTGTGTACTCATGCCAAGCTCCCGCGCTTCACGTTAGAAGTCTGTCCCAACTATTTTCCCTAAACCCTAAACTTTCCCTAAACCCTAAACCCTAAACCCTAAACCTTAAACCCCAAACCCCAAACCCCAAACCCTAACGCTGGGGCTTCAGCCTCTGCAAGGGCGAGCGCCCTCTCCTTCCTCCTGAGGAGTTCTTCAGGCTGGTGCGTACAAACCTGAAAATGCTGCCTCCAGAAACTTGAAACGCGTGTATGGAGAGCGCACCTATCCCATGTACTTCGTGAAGTGGGTTTAGGGTTTAGGTTTTAGGGTTAGGGTTTGGGGCTTGGGGTTTGGGGTTTAGGGTTTAGGGTTTAGGGGCCTATGTGAGTCTTGGGGTGAGCCCAAGGCTGGGAGCTTGATTGTTTTTTATGTTCCAAGGCTGTGGGACGAAGCTCTGAAGCCTGTAAGGTTCAGACTTGGGTCTTAGGGTTTAGGGCTCAGGGTTTAGGGTTTAGGGCTCAGGGTTTAGGGTTCAGGGTTCAGGGTTCTGGGTTTAGGGTTTAGGGTTTGGGGTTGAGAGTTTCGGGTTTGAGGTTTAGGGGATCCCTGATCATGGCCCTGACTCATATGGGGTTGCTTTAGAAGTGGGAAAAAGAGACTCTCAAAAGGAGAATTCTTACCAAGAATGGAATCTATCTCTCGGTTCAAACCCTAAACTGAAGACCATGCCCCTTCAGGCAAGGGGCCGGTCGCAGCAGGCGGGCCGGAAGGCTTGCGGACCGTAGGCGAAGGCCGGAAGGCGAGCCGTGGGTCCTTGGACCGGAAGGTCCGCGTGGCAATCGAAAAGGCCACTCCCAATCACTATAGTGATAGCCCTAAACCCAGAGTCTTTTTGCCACCGAGAAGCCTTGCCATCCTTTTGAAATTTTGGGCTGGGGCTTAATTTTAAGGGTCTGGGACCTTGGATTAAGGGTTTGTTAAGGGCCGACACTCTAAAATTAAGGGCCCGGGCCCCTAAATGAAGGATTTTGGCCCTAAATTAAGGGTGTGGACCCTAAATTAAGGGTTTCAGACCCGAAAATAAGGCGATTGCACCCTTTGTTAAGGATGTGGAGGAAACTTAGGGTTTTGGACCCAAAATTCAGGATTTTGACCCTAAATTGAAGGGCTGGGACCCTAAATTCAGGGTTTCGGACCTTAAATTAAGGATTTGGTGCGGCGTCTGCAAAATAGAAGAAACAGTTTTTTTTTTAAATTTAAAATCATTGGAAATCGAGCAATTTGGCGCCGTTTCTGGCGTACCCTCCATTTGGACCCCGTCAGGGCGTCCCCACCACGGCATCCCCGAAATCTGAAAAATGCAGGGTCATTTCTTTTTGGAAACTGCGTTGAAGAGTGACACCAACATAAAGATGATGCTAGATGAGTTCGTTTCGCGACTTTCGTCGCAAACTACAAAGGACCCGGGCGGTTTCTGCAGGGCCATTGGCAACTCTCACAAGTTGTTAGCACAGTTCACAGAGAATGTGCAATCCCAGCTTGACTGTATTTTGGGTTCGCAGATGAGCGCACATTACGCGGCTCAAAGGTTTGACAGTTGCACGAACTGTCTGCAGAAATTGATATTGTGCATCTCTTCGGTTGTTCGCTTTCTCTTGGACCTGGCGGCGTTGAAGAACGATAAATCAGCGTGGGCTGTGAAACTTCTGGCTGCAATCTGACAGCATCTGATGCATGCCGGTTGGCTCTTGTTTCTCTGTAGGGCTCTGTCCGGGAATATGACTCAACATTCGGCTGCTTGCACTGACAACGGTGTCTCCGCTCGTTCACGAGTACGACAAGGGCGCCGCGAAGTCAGAGTCCGCGCCGACCTCTTCCGCAGCCCGCGTCTCCAACTGCTCCAGGTTGTGCAAGAATCTCAAGCAGGACGCTGTAGAGTCGCTTGTGCGGATGCTGCGTTCCAATTACTTGCTTCGGTTCACGCAGGATCTCAATCGCACCTTTGCCGTTAAGTCCTGAGGACGGCTCCGCCGCCCAACGGCCTCTGGTCCTCAATAGCAAGTACACGTCCGGGTACCTTCAGATAGCCGAGCAGCAGATGAAAGCTTTGAGCATCTTAGCCTACAATAAAACTTCTCGCTGTGAGAACGCTCGGGCGTCAGCAATTGGCATGATAAGTCGTCCAAGGCACAGCAGCTCGGATATTGCCGTGTACCAGGATGGTCGGCTATTGTTTCACTACGAAGGCTCGCGCAAATCATCTTTCGATAGTTACCTGAGTCACGCAGCTTGCTCGGAGTAGGCGTGCCAGAAGAATATGATGCTCTGGTGGCGCCCGAATTGGGGTCCATCAAGAACGTGTACGGACTTATTTCTCGAGACCGTGGAGACTTGGCATCACGCCGGTGTTGGGTCTGCCCTGAGCCCCTTCGACGTGCTCTGGTGGACGGCCAACAGATCAGACTCCACCCTGTTCCTCGTCAGTGGGCAGTGGCAAACTTCCTCTCATTCCCTGGGCGGGGCCGCCTTGCGTGAGGCTGGGATCCTCTGGCCAAGCTGCTGCGGCTGGACACAAACTTGCGAAGAGTACCTGGCTGCGCGACCCGCGGCAGTCTTTCTTGCCAGGCGTTGGCCGATTTATGGTAGGTAGAACTTTAGCGCATGACGCGGAGCAGGCTTCCGTGGTGCGCAGCTGGGGTGTGGGGGATTGAAAACTTCTGAGGTTCGCTTCATGTTAGCAATCTTCGATGCCACTTCGGAGATCGAGACCAGCTTCAGCACAGCGCGGCTGTTTTCAGGCGGATTCGGACGTTCGATGCTCGTTGAGTTGTGCGCAAGTGAGTGTGGCGGTTCTCAGTCCTGCAGGCTCCATCAAGGCCAGTGTGTCAGAAGAAACAGGAACTGCTAGCTGAAAGTCTTCTGTGACTGCCCGGACCTGGACAAGCTCGTATCTTTCTCAAAGGGCAGTTACCAGATCCAGGCTTGGTTTCAAAATCCTGGACAAGTGCCGGAAGCTTTAAGGTGGGCAAGGTCGGAACACAAGACGGGACCGACTTCCGCGAAAGTCCTTCCGCTCGAGGCTGAAATCCAAGGGCATGGCGGCTTTCCAAAGACGGCGGGACGCAGAGCAGCGTTCCTTGCAGCAGCCAGGCGGCGAGGAAGGCCTGGAGGACCTTGACCAACTCGTTGAGTCCTCTGCAAAAAGGCGCGCCGCTCCTCAACAAGAGAAGCTGCGGGCAATACTTCAGGCAAAAGCTGTGGAGCTGAAACAGGACTTCGTTCATGGCCCCGGTCATGGCATTGCCGCCAAGTTGTCAGAGCATGAAAGGAACGTGCTAAAGGACAAAGCGAAGCTCCAGAGGATAGAGATGAGACAGCTGCGTGAGCAGTTGGAAGAACTAGCCCCGGGGCCCTGCGCCTTCGTCATCCTTGGTTCCTGTGTCCGTTTGAAGACGCGCGCGAAGAAGCAGCTGGCCCGGGCACCTTCGTTTGAAGGTTCTGTGTTCTACAGCGCCTCGGAGTTCTTAAATGGTGTAAGCCAGGAGGTTGCCGTGGACTGCCAGCGGCTCGTGTGGGTGTGCGTGGACCCGGAAAGCTTTTAAAAAAGGTTTGGGGGCCGCAGAATGCCCTCGAGATCCCTGCGGCCAACGCCCAGAAAAAGTGTTGGAAGGAGGTGTCCATCATCCTGGCGACTCGCGCTCTTGGCGAATATGTCGCCAGTGGGCAATATGGCCGAGTCTATTTGGCCACCAACAGGATGCCTGTGTGCAGGCAGCAGAAGACAGCCCTGATCGCGGTTTGGGGTGATGCGACGATGAAGAAGAAGGAGGCTTGCAAAGAAGGGAGTGCGTGGCAGAGTGGACTCTGCGCTCTGCATTGTCCGACGCATTCTCTGAGGATCGTTTTTGGTTTCATAAGTTTGTTTTCCCAGTAGAGATTTGGGTCCTGGCGATGTCAAGGCGCAAGTCCGGTGCTAAGAAGCCGGAGGCCGATGCGGCAGGAGCGCCGCCTGATGCCTGGTCGGAGTTGCGGCCGTGCGTGGATCGCTTGAGGCAGGCCAATGTATGGGTCGAGAGTGGCGCCCAGCCACTCCCAGTGAGCGGCGTGACACCGCTGGGTGCTGTTGACAGTGCAAGGCTCGGGCTTAACTTAACGTTTCAGGGCTCGGGGTTTGACCTTGAGGGCTAAACCCTCAACCTGAATCCCTAAACCCTCAACCCTCAAACCCTAAACGAGCCCGAAAGACACCCAACCATTGCAGGGGCGACTTGACACCCGTGTCGCGGGTAGTCCAGCTTGCTGCCTTCATCTTCGAGTGGGGCGCGGCAGTGGCAGCCGGCGAGGAGCGAGCCAAGCTGTTCGCTGCGCGAGCGGCCGCTGCTGGGACAAAGCGTTCAGGAAGTTTAGGGTTATCCGTGGCCTACTGCCTCCGGTTGGGTTGTTAAGGTTGGAGCAATCCCGAATGTAACTATAAGGCTCACCGCTTCGACCTCATCCGGGGCAGCGCGGGCGGTGGAGTGTTTCTGGTTGGTTCATCGGCGGGGAGAGGAAGTCATCCAGGTGGCGTCCGAGGCACTGAAAGCGCCCAGAGATTTTTGAGGGTGTCACAGGGTCAAACCCTAAAGCCAAGACCCCAAAACACCAAAAGCGTGGAGGTGACCTTGCCGTTGCAGCTCTCGGGATCGCTGCGCTTGGCCACCGTGACGCAAAAGTGGTACCGTGCCATGACCGGAAACCTTGAGACTTGAGATGCGCGTGAAGAACCTCGAGTTCCATTTTACCAGGGAGGCTGCGATCAAGGACCACGTCAAGCACGTTGGCCGAAAGTTTAAGCCCGGAACCTGAAACCCTCGACCAACCCAAAACCCAACTCTGACAGTAGTCCTGAGGGCTGGTGTGGATTGGTCCGCGAAGCTGCAGAGCTGTCTCAGCGAGTAGCCTACGGCGGCCTACGGTTCCACTTGGGCCTCGAACTGTCGACTTCGTCAGGTGTCTTGTCCATAGCTAATGCCTCCTAATTATTTGCTCATTTAACCAATCAGCGAGGGAGCGTCTTATAGCGTCTCGCAGCACCCGCAACCTTTCTGTTTGAAACCCCGAACCTTGAAGCGCGCTAGCAGCAGAAAAAGCTGCGTGCTATATGCTGCTATCGAAGTCGTCGTAGTTCGGTGTCACAAAGGGCTCTGGTCTATGTTTCGCGGCTTTCGTCTCAAGTTGTGCTCCGCGTCCATGCCTGCTTGAGTTGATTTTGGTGCCGTCCCCGAACTGTAGGCTTGGCAAGACCACGGTAATGTGCCTGACGGTATGCTGAGGCCTCTCTGCTTTGAACTAGGCTAGCTTGACAGCTCGGGGGTACTTGCAGCTCTCAGCGGCAGGTACATGTAGGAGAACATGCTGGACCGCAGAGTGGCTGAAGCCACATGCTTGAAGGTGCGCGGGCATTCGTTGACGTTTTTCGGAGGTTCAACAAGCCCTGCATTTAGACTTTGTGTTCGCAAGGGACATGCCACGGAGGGCACTTTTTCATGTGAAGCGTGTGAATCCAGCAAATCACAGACGTGGTTGCGACCAGGATGCCACAATCTTATGAACAATGCAGCTTAACCCCCGCCCGCTGTGTAAGTACCTATGGGTGATAAGATTCATAAGATGTTTTACGTCCGGTTGCAACAAGAAGTATCTTCTGAACGTGGAAGCAAGGTTCACTTGCCACCTGATCGAGTGATAAGGAATGTACCGAAGTCTTGCGTCGGCTTCGCGGCAGTTGGTTATATATTGCATTTTCCTTCCGGTTTTCTAGTAAGCGGCAAAACCACGCTGATGTGCTGCTGACTTATTGGATGGTCGCACTTCGCAAAGCAAAGTACGCGGTAGCTTTCTTTAGGCGAGCGGCGTAAGTTGCCAGGTTGACTGGGCGATGAAGACGCCAATGACGGAGGTCCGGGACTGCAGCCTTATATTGGGCCATGTACGACGCGTTGGTGCCAGCATGTTTTGGGCAGACAGTAGCAGAAAGCCTGGTGCCTGGAAGTCCGAAAGTCCGAAAGAGTTCACTGGAACTACGGATGTTGCTTGAGTCAATGTGCGCAGGACGTCTCGCAAGCAAGATGTGAGCAATGCTTTAATGGCATGATGAGGCGCGTGTGCGCATGAGAGGGTGCAAAAATCACCAGAGCATGGCGCGTTTACAAGGTGCTTGGTTCCGCGTCGGCCAGTTGCTTGTTACCCAGATTTTTGGGCACGCGCCTTCCGTGGCATCTGCTTCACTCGTATCCCGAGGCCTCGACTTCGTGGAGGTGTGAGATTCTCGATTGAGCTGTGGGATGCTCTAGGCCTGCCCAAGAGGAGGCTGGAGCATCATAGAAGGTACTGCGACCCCCTTTGTATGAGTGAAGTACATTGGTATGGAGATTCCGCGCGTGGCCTGAGGAAAGGCCTATGAAGGTTTCATGTGTGGCCCGCGCCGGAGTGTTGAGCCTAAGCACAGAATGCCGTTTCACAGAATTAGCTGGTGACGACCCACCTTCGCAACCCAATTCGAAGCGAAACATTGTTTGCTTGTTCTGACATGATTGGCCAATTATGCAACAAAGCCCCGTGCATGTTCCTTGTACCTTTGTAGGATATCGCTGCTGGTTGGCTCTGGACGGCACGACACATGAGCAAACTGACTTTGCTGTCGTGCTGCAGACCATCAGCGCTGTGGTCTCAGTATGAATAAAGCAGCCAAGCAGTATGCAACGTATGCCAAACAGACGCATCTGCGTTGAACAAGTTCTGGCTGCTAGAGCATTCTGCTGCTCCTAATGGCTGTAAGAGTGGTGTCCTGACTTCATAGCAGTTTTTCCGTTGCCCAGCGTGGTATGTGCATAAACGAAGATGGGAAGAGCAGCCAGCCCAGGTTGCGCTCGCCGTGTACGCACTCCACGGCGCCGTCAGAGTCAACAACTGGCCTGACCCACAGATCATCGGAGAATGACCCCTTCATTTTGCAGATCTCAACGATGCCCTGATGGGGCAAACCTGCCCTGGCGGGGGCGACCCTGGTGGGGAACGCTGCGGGGGCAATCCTGGCAGGCCCCGGCAGGGGCAACTGTGGCGGGCAACCCTGGCGAGGCCAGCCCGAAAGGGCAACCCTGGCTGGGCAAAACGGGGGCAAAACGGGGGCAACTCTAGCATGCCACTGCGCGAAATCTAGCCGCGCAAAAGCCTTGCCTGCAGGCCGCAGTGGTAAGCACCACTGCCACAATGACGAAGCCTTGCGGCGTCGGCTGCTGGCTATCTGTTCCACCCAAGCCATATTTTTATTCTTAGGGAGCCCCTCCTTCTCGCGATTCCAGGGCATTAAGAGTTGAAGGTTTGAAGTGTGCCCCCTTGCTAGGGGGGTTGGGGGGTAGATGGCCCTCCTTGCTAGGGGGCGTAGATAACCCCAAACCCGGCCAAGGTTTGTGATTTGGGTTGGGAGGGTGGGACTTCGGCTCGCGCCGACCCCCTTCCACTTTATGGAAACGGTGGCGCTTAAGCCCTTGGACCTCGATGGCACAAGGCGACCCAGGTCGCTCGCCCGCCTCTCTGTACTGGTCCCCAATACCCTTTCCCTTTCCCTGTCTTGCGTCGCTGGTTTTGGGGGGGTACCCCCCGAGCCCCTAGCCCAGAAATTCCAGGACCCCTCGCCGCAGCGTGTTCAAGGACCAGGGGGCCTGGGCGGCTCAGGCGGAAAAACGCCGCCATTGGCTGGAGGTGGTGGGCCATTCTGCCCCTGTGCCCCTCCCCGGCCCCGGGCCTGTGGGGTGCCTGGCCCCACCCCGCGCTTCGAGAACTGAATAAGTTTTTTAGAAGTGTGCTGTTGTCTGAGTTTAGGCCTAAACCCTAAAAGGAATAGGTTTGGGTGGCTTTGCCGCTTTGGACGGCGTGGGGTGGGAGAAAAGTGTTAGATGGCCCTCCACAATCGGGCCAAAGCTGCTCTTCGCACCTCACGAAGCTTTCGAGCTTGTTCCGAAACCTAACCTTCACAGCATCTATGCCCTATCACAGCAAACCCTAAACCCTAAACCCTAAACCCTAAACCCTTTCCCCTGAACCCTTAACCCTAAACCCTAAACCCAAACCCTAAACCCTAAACCCTAAACCCTAAACCCTAAACCCTAACCCTAAACCCTAAACCCTAAACCCTAAACCCTAAACCCAAAACCTTATAAACCCTAAACCCTAAACCCTAAACCCTAAACCCTAAACCCTAGGCGACGGCAAGCATCGCCTGGGACGATGGGACTTCCCAGAACGACCAGAGCGCAGCGCTGGCGGTGCTGACGCTGCCAGCGGAGGAGGCTGTCGTCTTGCTTGGGGGAGGGTCTAGGGTTTACGGTTTAGGGTTTAGGGTTTATGTTTTTTTTTTTTGCTACGGCCTTCCGCGCGTGCGGTCTGCGCGCTTTGAGGCCCTCTCGGAAGAAAGTTCCCGGAAAGCGCTTGCTATCTCGGCATATACCGTGTGTGGTCCAAAAATGTTAGATCCTGCAGCTAGGGCGGGTGGTTCAGGGTGGGGAAGTATCTTTTGGCGGTAGTCTCTATCCAATACGGAAATGCCTCGTCTTCGGCCTTGACTATGTATACGATCTTTGTGGCACGATCCGAAGACTACTGAATGCGCTGGTTCAGTTCTAGGAGCCGGATAGACTGAACTCACAAATTTGTACTGGGCCTCGTGTAGGGTTTGAGATGGGAGCTTAGGGCGCCGGGCCTTTTCCATTACAAGGGTTTACGGTTTAGGGTAACCTGATCAGTGTAGGGTTGGAAGTGGAGAAGGGCTTCATCTGAACGGCAAAGAATTATGGTTTTGCGAGTTCAGGATGTAGCATGTAGATTTGTTTGGGTTCAGGCTTAAGTTAGAGAACTCACCATATCGAAATCATCAGAAACACAAGCTATTTCAAGAAACCCTTGCTAGCCTGGAAGTTTGACATCTCAAGCCTAACCAACAGAAACACTCAGGGTCCTGTTATTTGAATCTTTTGTCTGTATATCAGTATGCGTATGCATCTACGCATCTGAAGATGTGTATGTTTTTTCATCTTGTCTATTTGCCTTCATACGAGACCTATTTGTTTGTATGCCTCGCATATTTGTATCTGCATATCCTAAACTTACCCTAGACCCTAAACCCTAGACCCTCAACCCTCAACCCTAAACCCTAAACCGTAAACCCCAAACCCTAAACCCCAAACCCCAAACCCCAAACCCCAAACCCCAAACCCTAAACCCTAAACCCTAAACCCTAACCCTACTAAACTCTATACTAAGAACCAGGGGTTTTGGCAGGTCTTGGTCGCTCTGAACTTCACCACGAGGGTGACGGCCGGTTGTCAGTGCGCGTTCGGCACATATGATGTGCAGGCTCCTCGAGGGCTCCGAGGTTTAGGGTTTAGGGTTTAGGGTTTAGGGTTTAGGGTTTAGGGTTTAGGGTTTAGGGTTTAGGGTTTAGGGTTTAGGGTTTAGTTTTAGGGTTTAGGGTTTAGGGTTTAGGGTTTAGGGTTTAGGGTTTAGGGTTTAGGGTTTAGGGTTTAGGGTTTAGGGTTTAGGGTTTAGGGTTTAGGGTTTAGGGTTTAGGGTTTAGGGGGTTCAGGGTGCGTTTAGGAGTTAGGAGTTTTTCTCTGTGGGGTTAGGGTGTTTGGTTTGCCGGGCTTCAGAACGGTGGAAGATTTTGGGCGTTAGGTTGAGGATTAGGACCGCAGGCTCAGTGTTCTTGGGATGATAGGGTTCTTAATCGGGAGGGGGGTTATGTAACCCAAGGTTCCCTAATAGGCTCCCTAAGCTTCTCTAAGGTTGTCCAGGTACCCCCCTTGAACCCCCCTCCCTTAAGAACCCCGTAAAGGGAATGTGTGCAGGTTTGCGTTAGGGTGCTCGGTGATTGAGGGTTCCCCCCCCCCCCCTCGTCAAGAAGCTGAATTATCGCGCCTTCTTTTAGGGGAGGCAGCCCTCAACCCCAAACGCTAAGCCCTAAACCCGCACCTAAGCAACCCAAACACCCTCATGGGGGGAGGGTTTAGGGTAACCCTAATCCCTAAACTCCCAACCCGAAACCCTAAAGGTCCAGGGTTCAGGGTTTAGGGTTTAGGGTTTAGGGTTTAGGGCTGTTCGGACGAGTGGGGCATTTGCAGGTCATGGGCCTTCGCTTACGCTTTCAGATGTCGGCGCCCACGGTGACCAAGGCCAACGGTGACGAGGCCCTTTGGTGTTGGTTGTTGTTCCGGGCTTTCGTTCTTAGCCAAGAGTTGAACTTTAAACTTTCTGGGTTTACTTATGTAGTAGGAAGTTTAATGTTGTTTCCCTTGGTTGTTGGAGAAATAGGTTTTTGTGCGGTTTAACCAGGTTCTACGGCTTGTGGGGCTCAGGGCTTAAAGATCTTGTTGATGAACTTGTCTTCGGGCTTCAGGCGGTTTAGGGCTTGCAACCCTAACCCCCCCAAAAAAAAAACAAAAATAAATAAATAAACTCAAAAAAACCCTAAACCCAAAACCCTAAACCTGTGGGGCTTTGGGGCTTGCAGGCTTCAGTACTTAGGAATTTAGGGCGTCTTGCCGCTGCTCGAAACTGAGAGCCTATCTCTGGAGTGAGTAGGTTGGCATGTGTATAGGGTTTAGGGTTTAGGGTTCTGTTTCTTATGCACCCTACATCTGAATCTGCAAACCCTGAACCCTGAACCCTAAACCCTAAACCCTAAACCCTAAGCCCTAAACCCTAAACCCTAAACCCTAACCCTAAACCCTAAACCCTTACACGCCCTAGACTCCCAAACGTTCAGCGCGAGCGATGGCTTCGGAGCAGGTCAGCATGGATGCGGTGGAGGACGGCCACAAGATGGAGGTGCTTGCGGTTTAGGGTTTAGGGTTTAGGGTTAAGGGTTTAGGGTTTAGGGTTTTGGAGTACTACACTTTAATACTTTGATTTTGGTTCTGGGTTCCTACTACAGCTACTTATACCTACCTTAAGCCCTAAACCCTAAACCCTAAACCCTAAACCCTAAACCCTAAATTTCCAGGGTCTACTCCAAAGTAGGGAAAGTAGACTGCCTGGTGCCAAGGATGGCCATGCTTTGCGGCTCTCGAGCTGCGGTTCATGATCTTGTTGGTTTAGGGTTTAAGGTTTTTTGGGTTTAGGGTTTAGGGTTTAGGGTTTAGGGTTTAGGGGCTGGAAAGGATACCTTCATCGCTGCATGACATGCATGGCCACAGTAGTAGCGAACGGTCCGATTGTCCTTGCATCAATGAACCTCTACACAAGCTGGCGCATGTTACCCATCTTCCTCGAGTCTGCCGTTTTTTTTTCTGGAACCTTCAGGGTTTAGCGCTTAGGGCTTAAGGTTTAAGGTTTCATGTCTACAAAGCAAACTTTCTAGTTTCTTAGAGAAGAATTAGGGAGTTGGGTCTTACACCCCACCCCCCTAGATGGGCCTTGAGGCATTTTGTATGGTACCTATCTCCCTGACTCCCTACATGAAGAATCAGTAGGACCTCAAAGCCCCCAAACCCCTAAACCCTAAACCCCAAACCCTAAACCCCTAAACCCCAAACCCCAGGAAAGCCCTCGATCTTCCGCACCCAACAACGATGCACCCTCTGCAACTCCTCCTTGGAGGTCATCGTCACCTACACCAGCGACGCGCTGCCAGCCGCTGAATCGCACCCAAAATCACAAAAAACATGGTGCCCTAGACCCTAAACCCTAAACCCCAAACCCTAAACCCTACACCCTCCGCCTCCGTTGAGTCATCATGCAAAGTACCTTCCTAATTCGTGCCGTCAAATAGACCCCCCAGCTTGCATCCTAGCATCTAAGACCCTTCTGACGTTGACTCAGCTCATCCCCCTCTGATTCTCCTGCACCCCGCAACTCATCCCTGGCTCACCTAATTAGGGTTTAGGGCTCCGTTTTCTTCTCGGAAGGTCTGTTGACTGAAGATATTAAAAGGGATTGTAAGTTAGGTCAGCCCCAGCCCTGTTGGGAAATAGGTTATGCATTCACCCTGAACCATGAAACCCTAAACTCCACACCCTACACCTTAACTCCTAAACCCTAAACCCTAAACCCTAAACCCTAAACCCTAAACCCTAAACCCTAAACCCTAAACCCTAAACCCTAAACCCTAAACCCTAAACCTAAACCTAAACCCTAAACCCTAAACCCTAAACCCTCAACTTCAACAAGCCCCAGAACGTTTGGGTGTAGGCGGCACCCTGAGGTTCAGCTTTGGAATCAGCTCTCTTTGTACGTCGGCCCTTTCCAGCAGGCCGCGTTTGGGGGTCTGGGATTTAAAGATTTAGGGTGTGGGGTTTAGCGTTTGGGTTTGCGGTTCGGGTTCGGGTTTAGGGAGTGGGGTTTAGGGTTTGGGGTTTGGGGTTTGGGGTTTAGGGTTTAGGGTTTAGGGTTTAGGGTTTAGGGTTTAGGGTTTAGTTTTTTCTGGCTCGGGGGTTGTGGTTTGGACCCCTAAAGTGGTACCCTGCAGCTTGGTCTCCCCTTTTTTCAGATCCCTGAGTTGCTATCAGGGCCATGTTCGGAGTATACCACGGGGACACCTTTAGGGACACAACCTTAGGGGTACCGAGTCTTACCCCCCTTGAGGGGTAGGGTTTAGGGTTTAGGGTTCAGGGTTTAGGGTTTAGGGTTTAGGGTTTAGGGTTTAGGGTTTAGGGTTTAGGGTTTAGGGTTTAGGGTTTAGGGTTTAGGTGCCAGTTCACCGACATCACCTGTTGTCGAAGCCCTCACAGAGGGTATCAGATCGGTTGGATGCCGTGCCGTTGCCAGAGACTTCAGGATCCGCCATCCTGAGCCCAGAGAGCTGGTGACGCAGAAGCCACACTTTTGGTCCTAAACCCTAAACCCTAAACCCTAAACCCTAAACCCTAAACCCTAAACCCTAAACCCTAAACCCTAAACCCTAAACCCTAAACCTAAACCCTAAGCCCTAAACCCTAAACCCTCTGGTCTGACTGTGTTGGAATGGCTTAGAGGGTTCTTAAGGGAGGGGGGTGGTTCAAGAGGGGTATGTAACCCAAGGGTCCCTAGTACTCCCCACCACTCTCTAAGGCTCCCTCAGCTTCCCTAAGGTTCCGTAGCTACCTACCCCCCCTCCTTGGTCATAGTTGGGTATCATTTTGCTAAGGGTACTTAAGCCCAACAAGGAATAGAAATTTAAAATTTTAAATACGATCCCAACCATGAACTAGCCTTGAACCCACCCCCCTTAAGGACCCATCAATGGCTTCCGAAGCATTTGCAGCCAAGTAACCCTAAACCCTAAACCCTAAACTCTAAACCCTAGACCAAGTTGTTGCCGGCTGTTTCAATTTGGATGCCTCTCCTTCTGTCTCTTGAGGCTCGCTGCCTCCCTCCAGTAGCCCTAGCTTGTCTTGCTGACACGAAACTCTAAGCCCGCTTTCTTTCGTGGAACCCCAAACCCTAAGCTTCCTTTTGCCCCTAAAAAAACCCGCCTGGTGGTTCCTCGAAAAAAGGGACCCCAGTTTTAGACTTTCAAATACTAGGGTCCTCTTAAACAAAGGACCCCAACGAGGTACCCCTATGAAAACCCTGAACCTTCTAGCTTCCAGGTCACCATTGCCTCGCCCAGGCCGGACTTAGAGCACCTTGGCTAAGTGACTATCGTGGGCTGGCGCTGGGTGCGCGGCTATGGGGTCTAGGGTTTAAGGTTTAGGGTTCAGGGCTTTCGGAGAAAGGGTTTCTGACAATAGGCGTACCTTTGGGAATGTTGAAGAAGGATGATCGTGTTATGGGGGTGCATACGGGGCTTAGGGGTTTCGCACTTGGGGGTTCTGGGTGTCGGGTTGAGGGTTTGGGGGGCTAAGGTTTTTCTACAGCCCTGAATCCCATTCTCCACACCCTTCCTGTAAGGCACTACAACGCAGTCTGCTCATGATCTCAAACCTGGACCGGAGCCATTGGCCCAGGACCCAGCCGCTACACCAGGTGTACCAACTCATGACGATCCTCTCAGGAGCTGGCAAGGCGAGCGGGCTCCTCAATTCTGAACCAACCCTAAACCCTGCTATTTCCTAGACCCTATAAATCCTAAACCCTACTAAACCCTAAACCCTATAAATCCTAAACCCCAAGCCCTAAACTTCCTCAGTCGCATCAACTCGTATCGTGACCAAGTTGACGATGGGTGAATTTGGGGGTTGGGGCGCCTCAGAGAAGAAAACCAAATTCCTGCCCTGTTGCCGCTTTACCCTGAAACCCGAGACCCTAAACCCTAAAACCCGAAACCCCAAACCCTCAGCCCTAAACCCTAGACCCTAAACCCTAAACCCTAAACCCTAAACCCTAAACCCTAAACCCTAAACCCTAAACCCTAAACCTCCTTTTGTTGTCCTCCTTGCCCGCAAGTGTGATGCTCGAAGCGAATGCAGGCAGCGGCTGCGGGCCGTGCTCTGCGCATGTTGCACGATGTCCCAGCCTAAACCCTAAACCCTAAACCCTAAACCCGAAACTGGTAACACACGAACCGGCAACACACGAACCTTCTAGTCAGTAGCATACGGCCAAAACCCTAAACCAACCTAAACCCTAAGCCCTAAACCCTAGACCCTAAACCCTAAACATACTGAGATCACCACAAAAGTTGGCAGCGCGGCTGCGGGTCATCGGCCGCCATGAGCGATGCCTCGGCTTCCCAAAAGCTCATCATCGCGGCCGCGGCCGGCAACGTGGAGCAGGCAGCTTCAGCTTAAGGGTTTAGGGTTTAGGGTTTAGGGTTTACGGTTTAGGGTTTAGGGTTTAGGGTTTAGGGTTTAGGGGCTTCGCCCCCCCTAAACCACGGCCTAACTCAAAGAGCAGGATGCCCTACTATTTGTTTTTTTCTGGTTCCCTAAACCCTAAACCCTAAACCCTAAACCCTAAACCCTAAACCCTAAACCCTAAACCCTAAACCCTAAACCGCTCCCTTGTGGATCCTAGGTAACTGGGCAACCTATAGTTTGTTCTCTCTATAAAGTTCAGCAACTACCCTAATAATAAATCCATCTGGTCCTTATAAGGCAGAGAGTCCAGCAATGCTGGATAGAGTCCAGCAAACTCTTCAGGTGGAGCGTTTGATCCTGCGAGAGCTTGCGGACGTTGAAGCCAAGGACAGGGAGGGCGACCTTGTTTTTTTTTCCATGTGACGCCGTCGCGTGACCCGATGTGGGTTTCGAGTTTGGGGTTCAGGGTTTAGGGTTTGGTGTTTAGGGTTCAGGGTTTAGGGTTTAGGTTAGGGCCTCCGAAGGACAGCGATGGACAGACACCGTTGATCGCTGCTGCACGCGCAGGTCAGTTGAAGACGCTGCAGAGGCCGTCTTGGACACCAAATGAATCCGAAAGTTGGTTGGACTGGAACCCTAAGCCCTAAACCCTAAACCCTAAACCCTAAACCCTACACCCTACACCCTAAACCCTAAACCCTAAACCCTAAGCCCTGTTGGGGTTCCCAGAGGCTGCTGGGGCTCCGCAGCAGCATCGTCCTGAATGCTATGGATGCCACCGGGCGCACGGCCTTGGATCATGCGCTGGAGAACGGCCGTGAGGAGGTGGTCACATTCATGACGGCGGACGTCAGCCTGCTGCTTTGTCATAGTGGGGTAACATTTTACATGCTTAAGGGTACTTAAATGTACTTAAACTCAACATGGAATCGAGTTTTTTCAATTTTTAAGACTATCCCAGCCCGAACTAGGCTGAACTTCAGCCGGGGTCTGATGCCTGCCGTACATCGGGGTGACGAGGAAGCAGTGAAGGCGATACTGGACGCTGCCCTGCCTGCAGAGGGGCACTCTTGGCCACCCTGGGCAGACGTGAACATGAGTGACCCTAGGTGACCCAGTGGTGCCGTTTTGGGCCTTTTGAATTCCCTGGCAAAAGAGCTTTGTTTCATTCATGGGTACTTTCCTACATTAGGGTCCCCTTTGTGGGTGCGCATGATGAGGCGGCACCCTTTAAAAGGGGATCCCAAATTTACAGAGTTTAGGGTATAGGGTTTAGGGTTTAGGGTTTAGAGAAGTACCCTCATATCATTGTTACTGAGCTACCAAGGACAGCCGTGGGGCATCTTTGCTTCATGCAGCTGTAAAATCAAGGCTCATGGGCTCCCCTACTACCCCCCTCTACACTACCCCCCCCCTGGGTTCCCCCATAATTAAGGCTGTTTAGGGCGGGGGGGGGAACCGGGGGGGGGGGGGGGGGTGTTAGCCCTAAACCCTAAACCCTAAACCCTAAACATAGTATAGAGGGGGGTAGTAGGGGATCCCATAAAAGGTGCACCGGCGTCTTGGCCGACCTTTTGCGACGGCCTGGGCTGGAAGTCACTTGGTAGCCCAGTGGTACCCTTTTACCCTTGTTTGGTTCAAGGTTTCCCTTATAAAGTAGCCAACCATGTCATAAGGGTTTGGGGTTTAGGGTTTAGGGTTTAGGGTTTAGGGTTTAGGGTTCAGGTACCCTTATCATAATATGGTTGCTGGGCTGCTAAGGTCAACAGTCAAGATCGCTATGGACGAACGGCGCTGGACCTGGCCATTGCAAGCAACGAGGAAGAGATGGCTTTTCTGCTGAAGAAGAAGGGCGGGAAGCTCAGTGATGACCTGGACGAATAGACTTTTTGTGTTACGGCCTTTCCAACATGCTGGGCCCACCTGCGGTGTGCCGCGGAAATCCGAAGCATCGAGCTCAGCGTCCTTGGCCCAGTGTGGCTCCTGCGAAATATATCACTGTGTTTTGTGCCACTGGCGTGGCAAGGCTCAGAGGCAGCACCCAAAACCGTTCACGCCGAAGCAGATTCGAAGTGCAAGTGTGCGACTCCAACGTCCGGAACATGCAGAAGATGCAAGCTCTCACGCCGGCAAAAGACGTCGATTCGTTTGTGAGGGAAAATTCAACAGGGGAGCTTTCTTACTTAGGGCCTCAGGAGTATTCGGGAAAATTGGGTTACCACCTTTCTTAGAGGATTCTGAAGTACGGGCCTTCGGAATGTAAAACCCGAAACCGTAAATCCTAAACTCTAAGCATATGGGGTATATACAGGGTTTTTACAATGTTTGGGATCCGCACTTGAGGGCTCGTAGAAAGGGCCCTTAGGAGTACTCCTCTGGCAGTGTTGGGTTGAAAGTTTGCTGTTCAGTCAGGCTCTGAATCCTGGAGCTCAACGCAGCCTGGGTTTTGGGTTAGGGTTCAGGGTTTCCGGTTGAGGGTTGAGGGTTTACTCTAAGGCTGCAGGAGGGTCCTTGGAGCCTTAGGGTAGGGTTTATGCGGAGTTAAATCGCCAGCAGCCTGTTGCAGGACTTGCCTTTGGAGCTGTCCATTGCGGGTGCGCTGGTGGGAGCGTCCTCGTCACAGATCTCCTTCGCACCCCCATTCGCGACGTGGCATTTCTTATCTGCACCTGTTGATACCTCACCTGGGTCCTAAGCCTTTATAAAGCCCACCGAACCACAATATGCGCATCCGCACCTCCACATCTTCGAGCGCAGACATGCCAAGAGGATGGGCTGTTTTAGGCAAATTCATACTCTCAGCCCTTTCAAAGGAACTTCGAAGCCCATCATTCTGAACCAGCATGACAGCACAGGCAGTTTGCACATCCTTGCGCCCTAACGGATCGGGGTTTAGGGTTCCAGGGGGGGTGGTTCATCTAAACCCTACCCCAACCCTAAACCCTAAACCCCAAACCCCAACCCTAAACCCTAACTCTAGGGCTGCAAGCTTCAGAACTTGTCTTCTGCATCCTCTCCCTTTCCCTCGCTCCCTCTCTGCCTCTCCCTCTCTCTCTCTCCCTCTCTCCCTCTCCCTTTCCCTCTTTCGCTGTGAAGATCTAGGTTTAGGGTTTAGGGTTTAGGGTTTAGGGTTTAGGGTTTAGGGTTTAGGGTTTAGGGTTTAGGGTTTAGAGGTTTAGAGGGTTTAGGGTTAGGGTTCGAGTATGAGCCTCTCTAGCTCAGGTGACTTGTCTCTCCACAGTGGGCTATGGTCAGTGCACGGCCGAGGAGCTGGAGCAAGAGCAGGACCCTGAAGCTACCATTTGCTTAGGAACCCCCCCCCCCCCCCACGCCACCCCCAAAAAAAAAAGAGTTAAAGATATTAATTGCTTGAGAAGCCCCAAACAAATTGAACATATTAATCCTTCTACTACCTTTATGGGGAAGAATATTTTCTATTTTTGGGCGTTCTTCAGCAATTCGTAGGAAGTGCTTTTGGGTTTGATTGGGGTCACTTCGTGCTCTGGTAGGAGAAGCCTGGGAACCCCAAGCCCTATCTAGAGTGCCTTAGTTCGGGGATGTATGCCAGCAATTGAGGAATATTTCCCTGGTAATGAAAAGGGTGCATACATTACTCTCTGAACCCTAAACCCTAAACCCTAAGCCCTGGGTATGGGGGCCGCAGGTCTACATCAGCACTGTCGGCGAGACAATGCTCTATGCGAAAGGCCGCTGCTCAGCATGGGGTCTAGGGTTTAGGGCTTGGGGCTTAGGGCTCGAAACCCTAAACCCTAAACCCTAAACCCTAAACCCTAAACCCTATAATCCCTGAACCCTAAACCCTCGGTTTTAGGCGAGATGATGTCGGTGAGGGCCTTGGTTTCCTTACATTGCGGTAGGAAGCCTTCAGTTTTTGAAAGAACAATTATAATGAAGTCCGTTTATAATGAGGAGGAGGGGGGGGGACTTCTGGATGACTGTCGCCCTAGCCCCTGAACCCTCTAAACCCTAATTCTGAACCCTAAACCCTAAACCCCAAACCGTAAACCCTAAACCCTAAACCCTAAACCCTAAACCCTAAACCCTAAACCCTAAACCCTAAACCCTAAACCCTAAACCCTAAACCCTAAACCCTAACCTAAACCCTAAACCCTAAACCCTAAACCCTAAACCCTAAACCCTAAACCCTAAACCCTAAACCCTAAACCCTAAACCCTAAACCCTAAACCCTAAACCCTAACCCGAAAAAACCTAAACCCTAAACCCTAACCCGAAAACCCGACACCCTAAACCTAACCTGGCCCTGCTTTCTGATGTCCTGGAGGTTTTGAAAGCCCCCATTCCTGCAACCTCTGCTTTGTCTGGGGAGGGGGGGTTTAGGGTTGAGGGTTTAGGGTTTAGGGTTTAGGGTTTAGGGTTTAGGGGGGGGGGGGGGCCTCAAATTATGCCCCGTGTTTGGTACTTAAACAAGAACAGAATATATTTTACTACACTCGACCCAAAACGGTCGAACCCTAAGCCCTAAACCCTGAACCCTAAACCCTAAACCCTAAACCCTTGTTCCCACAGGCGGCTTTGGTGGACACGAGACCCTGTCGAGTCCAGGCAGGGTTTCGGGTTTCGGGCTTGGGTGTCTGAGTCGGGGTGGGGATTAGGGTCTGGGGTCTAGGGTTCAGGGTTCAGGGTTTAGGGTTTAGGGTTGTTTATGTTTCGAGTTTCGGGTTGGGGTGTAGGGTGGTGGGGGCGGGAGTTTTCAGAGACTCCAGTAGCCCTGAACTCAGGAACCATCTGCAATCGGAACTTAGGAGATGTTTTGGAGGCCGCGCACCGACATGTGACGTGCTTCAGGCTCCTCTCCTAAACCCTTTAGCCTAGGATGCCCAGTAGTTCCCTTATTCCCTTTTTGGGGGGTTTAGGTTCCCTTATAAACCCCTTTAAGCAAAAAAGGGCACCCTTTTAAAGCCTAGGTTACTGGGCAGCCTAGTAGCCCTACTTTAGAGATTGACCAAACAACCCTCAGCCTTTGCAGAAGCCAGCGGCAGCTGAACGTTCCCAAGTACTCTAGATGAAGTTGCATATACGACTCCTCAAGCAAGAGTTATTCGGAGAATCTGAGGGTAGCTTAATGGGCCCTGAGTATGGTCTCTGACCTCCTTTTAAAGGTTTCTGATGTATGGTCCCTTAATTTGGTGTGGGGTATATATGGGGTATGCAAGGGGGTCTGCGTTCAAGGGCCCATACAACGGGACCATGAAACTACCCTTACTTAAAGAATCACGGGACCTAGTAAGGGGGCTTGTAAGTAAGGCAACTGTACCTAGAATTAATTACTAACAAGCCCAATTCAGCTACTTATAGCCCTACGTACTAAGTCCCCGATCCTCCCAGTAGAGAAGCGACGACGTCCTCCCTGCAGGCATGATAAGACTCTCCGTCACGCAGGGGGAGAACACCACGGAGCTCTGTGAGGACGGACCGGAGCAAAGAATAGAGTTCACAACCCCTAAAAGCTTCCGCCATAAATCTAAACCCTATACCTTATAAACCCCAAACCCTAAACCCTATACCCTAAACCCTAAACCCTATATCCTAAACCCTAAACCCTTTATCTCAACCTCACATGTTTCCAAAGCCTTGATCTGAGCCACGCCTTCCTGTTGCTTTGCTCCCAGCAACGGAGGCAACTTCAGGGTTCAGGGTAGTTTAGGCTTTATGGGTTTCGGGTTTAGGGTTTAGGGTTTAGGGTTTGGGGTTTGGGGTTCTGGGTTGGTTCGATTTTGTGTGAATGCAGACAAGGCTTGCGGGAACTTTGTTATGATTTGCTCAAGAACCCCCAAACAATAAAAGATAACAATCTCTATATTACCCTTATAATAAGGAAGACGTTTTCACTTTTTTGAGAGTTCTCAAGCACATAGTAGTTTGGGTGATGGTCAGGGTCAAGCGTGCGTGCGTGCATGCGTGCGTGCGTGCGTGCGCGGGTGCGCGGGTGCGCGGGTGCGCGCGTGCGTGTGCGCGTTTGCGTTCGCGTGCGCGTGCGCGTGCGCTACCCATGGGTAGTTCTCCAAAGTATAGGTTTCCTGTGTGGGGTCCTTGTGACTCCTTGGCCACTCGTGTGCAGTTTTTCTCACTATTTCTCGGGCGCACAAGTCCCTGATGCCCTTGGACTCTGCTAGCTGCAGAGTGCGGAGGATGTGCCTGAACTCCCTCAAAAGTCGCGAACCCCGCAGTCACCCCAAACCTCAAACCCTAAACCCCGAGCCTTAAACCCCGAACCCTAACCCCCAAACCCTAAACCCCGAGCCCTAAACCCCGAACCCTAACCCCCAAACCCTAAACCCCAAACCCTAAACCCCAAACCCCTGAACCCCTAAAACCCCAACAACTCCAGGACTCGGGAGCCCTAAACCCTAAACCCTAAACCCTAAACCCTAAACCCTAAACCCTAAACCCTAAACCCTAAACCCTAAACCCTAAACCCTAAACCCTAAACCCTAAACCCTAAACCCTAAACCCTAACCAGGACTCGGGTTGGGTGAGCTTCTCGGAGATGTGGTGCCGCCTCGCGCCAAAGGGCGCCAGCCCGCTGGCGATGTACGTCGTGGGGCCCATGAACGAGCCGCTCGACGTTGCTTTAGGGTTTAGGGTTTAGGGTTTAGGGTTTAGGGTTTAGGGTTTAGGGTGTAGGGTTTAGGGTTTAGGGTTTAGGGTTTATAAGGTTAGGGTTTGGGGTTTAGGTTACTACTATTTGCTTAAGAACCCCAAAAGAATTGAAAAAGAAAATAATCCCCAAATTACCCTCAATAAGGAAGAATATTTTGATTTTTTCGGGGTTCTTAAGCATTTAGTAGGTAAGTAGGGAGTGGGGGAATGAGATACCCTATTCCATCAGTAAGGTTGCTTTCTCCGAGGTTCGGCTTCGGGACACCCAGACCCTTTAAACCCTCAAGCCTTGGAAAGTCTGTAACAGCCTAATCCCTAAACCCTAAACCCTAAACCCTAAACCCTAAACCCTAAACCCTAAACCCTAAACCCTAAACCCTAAACCCTAAACCCTGTCACCCTAAACCGCATTCCAAAAGGACCCATAGGCCGGCTTCATGGACCAGGCGTAGGAGGGGTGTAGGAACAAGGGGGCAAAGGGGAAGGGGGGTTGAGGGTTAAAGGTCTAGGGGAGGGGCGGGGTTAGGGTTTAGGGGGTAGGGTTGCGGGTTTCGGGTTTCGGGTTTCGGGTTTAGGGTTTAGGGTTTAGGGTTTAGGGTTTAGGGTTTAGGGTTTAGGGTTTAGGGTGTAGGGTCGACGGCTTTTGGGTTGGATCGCCTGTGCACGTTTCACCTGGGCTGGCAGGGGCGGGTGGAGCGGGTGGGAGGGGCGCGGAGGGCATTCATGGAGCCCTAAACCCTGAACCTATATCCCCCCTTGGAAATTCTTTTTTTTTGTTTATATAAAACCCAAGAGGATACAGAAGACACATTTCTTAAGGTTCGCAGGGGAGTATAGGAACCCTAGACCCTCAAAGCTATTCTGGATTAAGGGTCCATGTACCTTAAAAGTCTATGCTGGGGCCCCACGGTCCCCATTTAGCAAGTTCTTTAAGGCCCAGGTGTTCCCTTTTGCAGGTCTTGGTAGCCTATTGATACCCTTGACCCTTTTTTTGGGGTATGGGGTAGGTAGCCACCCCCAAAAAAAAGGTTGCCTCCGTACTTTTTTCTGCTACTGGGCTACCCAGAGGTACATAACCTTTGGGCAAAGTTGTTTGCTGTCTCATACTCACAAGAAACAAGGACCGCGCACTCGCTGAAATAATAAGCCCGACAAGGCCTTGCTTAGAACCTTGGACCAAATGAGATGAACCCGATGATTGGGGTCATTATACCCTCTACTACCACTATCCCTGTGAATTGAGGTATATGAACCATAAATCCTTTAAAGGTTCATGTGATCCTTAAGGGTTTAGGGTTTAGGGTTTAGGGTCTAGGGTCTAGGGTCTAAGGTTATGGTTTAGGGTGTAGGGTCCTGTGACAATGATCAAAGCGATCCGAGGACCGAGCTGGTACAAGTGCCCTGGGCGATCCGATCCTCGGCCGCAGCCGGCGCGAAGTGCGGGAGCATAAATGGGGTTTAGGGTTTAGGGTTTAGGGCTTACAGAGGTAGGTTTGAACATAATCTTCTTTATTACCCTTAATTCATCGCCTATATAAACCTTATAAAGCCAGAAAAGGTTCAGTTCTTTAGGGCCCCCAAACCCACCCCCAATTGAGTTTAGGGCTCAGGGGTTTAGAGGGTAAGCCCACACCGTTTATAACACCCCACAAGCCCTAAACCCGAAACCTTAAACCCTAACCCTAAACCCTAAGCCCAAAACCCAAAACCCTAAACCCTAAACCCTATACCCTTGCCCGGAAAAGGCTACCAGCCACCAATCATCGACAACTTCTCCGAGCCCGTCCTGCAGATTATGGATGGAGGTCAGCCGCTGGGCACCACTTGCAGGTGGGCGCTGAGTAGGGTTTAGGGTTTAGGGTTTAGGGGTTAGGGGTTAGGGTTTAGGATTTAGGTGTTTTAAGATTTGTAGAGTTTAGGGTTTCTAGGGAGTTAGGGTTTGTGTAGGGCTGTTATGGTTTAGATGGCATTGAATCCCCGGGCTTAGGTTGTTGAATGCTAAAGCCGTGTGGGCTGCACAGGGTTTCCTTTTTAAGTTTAGGGTTTAGGGTTTAGGTTTCAGGGTTTAGGGTTTAGAATTTAGGGTTTAGGGTTTAGGGTTAAAGAAGCCCTACAAGCCCTAAAAAGTTCCCAAAGAACCTATCAAGCCTAGAAACCCTAGCCCCTATGACTTCATGTGATATTCTAGGGTTTGTAGGGTCCTGATTGGTATGTCACGCTTATATACAGGATTTATCGGGCCTGTAAGACGCAGGAATACGATGTGTTTTTTGGGGCTTTATAGGGTTTAGGGTTTAGGGTTTAGTGTTTAGGGTTTAGGGTTTAGGTTTTAGGGTTTAGGGTTTAGGGTTTAGGGTTAGGGTTTAGGTGGGTTTAGGGCGAAGCAGGGATCCCTAAACCCCAAACCCCAAACCCCAAACCCCAAACCCCAAACCCCAAACCCTAAACCCCAAACCCCAAACCCCAAACCCCCAACCCCAAACCCTAAACCCTAAACCCTAAACCCCAAACCCTAAACCCCAAACCCCAAAAACCCTAAACCCTAAACCCCAAACCCTAAACCCTAAACCCTAAACGCCCTTCAACCACTGGCCAGCAACGCCCAACCGAGGCTTTACATCATCGGCCAGAACTTTCCCGACTTCCCTGGAGAAGCGCGGAGGGGGAAGGGTTTAGGGTTTAGGGTTTAGGGTTCAGGGTTTAGGGTTTCGGGTTTAGGGTTTAGGGTTTAGGATTTTAGGCTTTAGGGTTTAGGATTTTGGGGGGTCTATAGGGGTGTTCGGATACAGGGTTTAGTTTAGGGTTAGATTTCAGGGTTTGAGGGAGAGCAGGCGTGGATCAGGGGGAGGGAGGAAGGGGGGGGGGGGGGGGGGGGGGGGGGGATCGAGGAAGCTGTGCCGAAAAAGTGCCTGTGCTCGAGGGTCTAGTGGTTTAGGGTTTAGGGTTTAAGGTTTAGGGTTTAGGGTTTAGGGTGGAGGAAGACCCCGAGACGGGGGAGATGCCCGATCCCGTGACGACAGGGTAGGTTGAAGTGCCTGTGCTCGAGGGTCGAGTGGCCTGCACCGGCAGAGCCATTCTTGTTTTTTGAGGTATCTCCGAGTGGGTTAAGCCGTGCTTTGGTTTAGCCCACAAGGGTTTTCGATGGCATGATCTTGGGCACGATTGTATTCGAGCCAAGCGTGGATGGGTGTTTCGGCACTCCTTTCTCGCAGGCAATGTTTGGGCTTCCCCTTGTGCCAGAGTGCTTTCTAGAAACTCTGACGAGGCCAGGCATCACGCCAAGAAGGATTCACAGATCAGCACGCGGATGCCCCAGCATGTTAGCTTGACAGCGTGCAGCATGCTGGCATGGGTCGCAAGACTGAGCAAGCATTCACAGCCAAAGGGTTACACCCGAGGAACAAGATAAGGCTTGGTGGGCACCAACCTCTTCATCGCTGCCCATGGTTGTGTCGATCCGCTGCCATCGATCACTCCTGTGCCCTAAAGCCTAAAGGTAGCCAAAACACGGGGAGGGGCTTGTTGCCATGTTTCATGATCAGCCGAAGAATTTCTCTCACTCCACTGCCACGGTTCTAGATCGCGGTTTTAGTCACCCCCCCCCCCCCCCCCATATTTCAGGGCCGAGGGTTTTGTCGCAAATTCCTAGGGGCTGATAGGCCATGAAACCCAGAACCCTATAAACCCTAGTTCATAAACTTTAAGCAACGTTGCAAGCCCCAAACCCCTGACACCTTTAAGCACTAACACCCTTATCCCTAGCTCTCAGCCCATGTCTTCGATTCCTTCGGGTCCAAAGCAAGCACGGTACGGAGGTCTGTATTGTATCCCATGTGCAACTCAGGGTACCAAAACATGCCCACAATTTGGAAATGTAGCTCTTTTGGTCAACACCCCCCCCCCCCCCCCCCAAGATTGGGTTAAGGGTTTAACCTGCGAAGCCCGATCACCCTAACGTTACAACCAGGGACCTTCTTGTCATATCAAAACACTTGAAAGACATTTGGGCCATGCCCTCGAAACTCGAAACCCCAAGGCTCTAGACCCGATGTGGGGCTCAACACCCTCTTTGCCTTCACCCCTAAACCCTAAACCCTAAACCCTAAACCCTGAACCCTGAACCCTGAACCCTGAACCCTGAACCCTGAATCCTGAACCCTAAACCCTAAACCCTAAACCCTAACCCTAAACCCTAAACCCTAAACCCTAAACCCTAAACCCTAAACCCTAAACCCTAAACCCTAAACCCTAAACCCTAAACCCTACACCCACGCTAGGAAGCCAGCGTGGGCTATGAAGACGCCGAGACGGTACGGCGGCTGCGTCGGGCACAAGGCCCCGGGGCAGACGCGGATTTATATAGGGTTTAGGGTTTAGGGTTTATGTGGTTTGGGCTTTAGGGTTTAAGGTTTAGGGTTGAGTGTTTAGGGTTTAGGCTAAGGGTTTAGGGGGTTTAGGGGGTTTAGGGGGTTTAGGGGGGGTTTAGGGGGTTTAGGGGGTTTAGGGGGTTTAGGGGGTTTAGGGGGTTTAGGGGTGCAGGTGGTTCAGGGGGTTCAGGGGGTTTCGGTGGTTTCGGGGGTTTAGGGGGTTTAGGGGGTTTTAGGGGGTTTAGGGGGTTTAGGGGGTTTAGGGGGTTTAGGAGGTTCAGGGGGTTTAGGGTCTGGGTTTTTGGGCTCAACTGGGGTGGTGTTAGTTTCATCGTTTGCCCTAGCATGAAGCTCCTCACAACCTTCTCTGGATTGTTTCGTGGAGATATTGTAAGTTCCTGTACTAGGGTGTTTCGAGCTGTAACATGCAGCTCAAACACTGCACCCAACTCACCAAGCCCTCTTTGAATTCTTCTGAATAGCGACGAGCGTTTGCCCCGTTTCTCCTTAAAACCCCCGGCGCCTTGAGCTATGGCGTCTATACTGTGGTTTGGGGTGGAACCCGAACTACCTGCAATATTGCGCAAGTAAGGGTTTAGGGTTTGGGGCTCAGGGCCCAGGATCTTTTATAGCTTAAGAAACCCTAAGCCCTACCCCGTCTTATACGTAGTCTCTATAGGGTTCGACGTACGGGCCCTTAATTTGGGTCCCTTGTTACAGAACCCTTCTATAAATAAGTAAATAAATATAAATACATATATATATAATAAGGGCCCATACTTCGGATCCCTACCAACAAGGGGAAGGCACCATACCAAGGGCCCATGGTTCAAACCTTAGATAGGTGGGAGGGGTGGGGGGGGGGGGGGGAGGGGGTGGGGGGGGGGGGGGGAGGGCGGGTGCGGGGCTTAACATCATTCGTTCTCTGATGCCTTGACCCTAAACCCTAATCCCTAAACCCTAAACCCTAAACCCTAAACCCATGTAACTACCCTTAGAAAGGGGGTTACAACCCTAAACCCTTGAAGGTACCGGCTTCGGGACCTCGGAGGTCTGTACCCGCGTTGTGCGGGTGAACCAGACGCACCTCCTCTGCGAGATGAAGCAGAGGTGGGGTTTTGGGTTTGGGGTTTAGGGCTTAGGGTTTAGGCATTATAGGGTGCAGGGTTTAGGGTTTAGGGTTAGGGTTTAGGGTTAGGGTTTAGGTTTTATGGTTTAGGGTTTAGGGTTTAGGGCTTAGGGCTTAGGGTTTAGGGTGTAGGGTTTAGGGTTTAGGGTTAGGGTTTACAGGCAGCTGGGGCTTACAGTTTTAGAGGTTTGGGGCGGCTCGTGGCTTGGGGGCTTAGGGTTTTAAGGTTTAGGGTCTCGGGTGCAGGGTTTTGGGGCTGGGGTTGAGGTTGGGGTTCATTGTTCAGGCGTTAGGGTTTAGGCAACCAAACAAACCCAAGGCCCTAAACCCTGAACCCTAAACCCTAAACCCTAAACCCTAAACCCTAAACCCCTAAACCCTAAACCCTAAACCCTAAACCCTAAACCCTAAACCCTAAACCCTCAGCCGCTGCCAGGATTGACCTCACCGCCGCAAGATGCAGGGAGGCGGGCCGTGGTCCTGTCTTTTCGCTGCAAAGCCACACATGCAACCTCAAGCCCTACGAAGTAGTAGTCCTAAACCCTAAACGCTATCCCCTAATTAAACCCTAAGCCCTATACCCTTGGGTTTGAAGGCTTCGGTGTTCCTGCATGTTCAGGTGCGTAAGGACTTCGTATGGAAATCAGGGCACAAGACTTCGGCTTCAGGCTTCAGGCTTCAGGCTTCAGGGCTGAGGCTGTATGGCATTGTACGCAAACCTAAAACCCTGGAAACACTTACCGAAACCCTAAAACCCTAAGCCCTAAACTCTCTAAACCCCTAAGCCCTCTAATGTGGTCTCCTGATTAGTGTGGGCCCCCCCCCCCCCCCCCAAACTAAATCCACCCCCGCAATAATGTCCAAAAAAAAGGGGCCCCCCCAAACTAATTTTCGGCCCCGGGCCCCCCCCCGCCGGCTCCTCTTCATTTCCTCTTCGCTCCTCTTCCCTCTCCTCTTCCGAAACCCATGCCCGAAAAACTTTTCATTATCGGAGGGGGGCAACCGAATTTTTGTCCCCTGGAGGGGTCCACACTAATTAGGAGACCACATTAAACCCTGGAAACCCTCTAAACGCTGTGCACCCCAAACCCTGAAAACTTTGACCAAAGCTCTCGGGGTTCGGAGGTGGACCTTGTCGTGACCTGGGGCGACCTGCGATCTGACGCACAGAGCGTCCATTGCCTCGGATCTATTTAGGGTTAGGGTTTAGGGTTTTGGGCTTAGGGTTTTGAGTTTGAAGTTTAGGGTTTAGGGTGCAGAGGGTTAAGAGTTGGGGTTTAGGGTTCTAAATCCTAAACCCTCAACACTATACCCTAAACCCTATTGGGGTTTACAGTGTGAGAGAGAACAACCCTAAACTTAATTGGCGCGACCCGTACTCTGAGCTGCAGGAGCTCCTGAAGCTCACTCTGAGAGGTCTTTCTCAAGGTTTGCACGTATCCTAGGGTTTAGGGTTTAGGGTCAAGGGATTAGGGTCTACGCGCGCGCGCACGCGCGGGGGAGGTGCACCTTTCCTTGAGACCTTAGACGTCGGGGCGCACTCTGTATCGCGCGCTTGCACAGCTTGGCAGCCCCACCCCCCACCCGAACCGTTCGGGTTTAGGGTTTAGGGTTTAGGGTTTCGGGTTTAGGGTTTAGGGTTTAGGGCTCTACCCCCCAACCCCCCCCCCCCCCTTATCAAGGGGGGCTTTCTTGGGTTTTCTGGGAGGTGTCCGGGATCTGAAAATTTCGGTGGTTTAGGGTTCAGGGTTTAAGGTTTAGGGTTTAAGGGTTTAAGGGTTTTAAGGGTTTAAGGGTTTAAGGGTTCAAGGGTTTAAGGGTTTAAGGGTTTAAGGGTTCAAGGGTTTAAGGGTTTAAGGGTTTAAGGGTTGGGGATTTAAGGGTTTGGGGTTTCGGGCGTGGAGTTCAGGGTTTAGGGCATAGGTACTCCTCGGTGGCTCAGAGGCACGAGTATCAAAAGGCCACCAACGCCAAAAAGGGGCCAAGAGACTGCAATATGTCTTACGTCTTGAGTAGGGAGTCTTTCTTTCATTCCAAGATGGTATAAGGAGTCTTACTCATATAAATGATCTTAGTCTTCTGCAAAAAAGGGAAGTAGGGATCCTATTCTGATTACTATGGAGGATACAGCAAGGGAGATTGGCGTCTCCAGGACCTTCAACCTTTCGTGGGTATGGTCCCTTTGGAACCCATGAGAATAAGAGACGTAGTATAAGGGTTTGGGTTTAAGGTAGGAACCTCAGACAAGGGACCATCAGAAAGCACACAACAGACGGCTACGTTCAGCTTACATAGAAAGGTGTGGAACTTAGTACTAGAGTAGGTAACCTTTAGCCTTTTTGGGTTAATGTATTCCCCTTATAATACCCAAGCTTAACCTTTAAACCCCCTAGTTACTGGACAACGAAGGAAATGCTCAGGAACCACCCTAAGCTCTTAAGTTGAGCCCTTAGACCCGAATCCCAGAAATACCTGCCGCTTAGACTGCTGAAAAGGTGTAATAGTTGAACCTTGTCAGGTGGGTTTAGGGTTTAGGGTTTAGGGTTTAGGGTTTAGGCTTAGGGCTTAGGGCTTAGGGCTTAGGGCTTAGGGCACCTTATAGAAGTTGCAACAAGGGTTGGTCCCTAAACCGTAAGGAAACCCTAAACCCTAAGCCCGAAGCCCTAGTCCCAAATGTAGAAGCAACTGCACCGGTCGCCTTTGAGCACAGCATACACCCTAAACCCTAAACCCTAAACCCTAAACCCTAAACCCTAAGCCCTAAGCCCTAAGCCCTAAGCCCTAAGCCCTAAGCCCTAAGCCCTAAGCCCTAAGCCCTAAGCCCTAAGCCCTAAGCCCTAAGCCCTAAGCCCTAAGCCCTAAGCCCTAAACCAGCCCAGCGTACAAGATCTGCTGCCGAGGTGCCCATGCTGCTCCCCGGGCCTCAGATCTACAGCGTGCAGGACGCGCAAGGGCTCAGGAGGTTCAGGAATTTATGGTTCAGACCCTAGAACCTACACCCTACACCCTAGCTTCAGGATTTAGTCAGGAAGGCACAAGCCGCCTCATGTTGCCCAGACATCACCACATTGGCTGATCGATTTCGGTGCCTGGCACGCTTCTTCAGATACCCTTTGGTTATAGGGGTTTAGGGTTTAGGGTTGGTGGTCTCTTTAAAGTAGGGTTTCTGTCTGAAAGGGCATATACTCGGGGTTTTTATTAGGGTATCTAGGAGCTATATATACAATAGGGATATGTGGACTCTTGGGTTTGGGGGGTGTAGAGTTCGAGGTTTAGGGTTTGGTGACAAGAGGCCCCTGAACCCCTAGACCCTGTCGTCGGGTTCATGTTATGTAGGGTGTTTCCCCACATAGGGGATGCTCCGAAGATACCTCAAAGATGTAGCATCCTTAGTAGAGGGAACCCAACATGGGTACTGCACCGCTATATTCGGAAGCAACCCCCCCCCCCCCCCCCCCCCACCCCCCCAAGTAGCGTTTCGGGATTTGGCTAGAAAATGACCTGAAAAAGGGTCCAGAATTCAAAACAAAGTAATCTGCAAATTCTAATCGCCGTTTCTGTCGGCACCTGAAGCATTCTCATGGTTTCAGGGTATTTAGGGCTTTATAATCGGGTTTGGTCTTAAGGCGTTTTGGGGTTTTTGACGGTGCAACCCCGCCTAAACCATCAAAAAACCTCACCCCCTAGCACCAATTTGCTGCCTCCTCCATACCGACACTCCAAGATCACCTCAGCATCTCCTAACTCCTCAAACCTGCATGAGTAGTTCTCTAAATTCGAAGCGTTTTTGGGGTCGCACATATGTGTATATATATATATATGTAATATATATATATATGTAATATATATATATATGTAATATATATATATATATACATATATACATACATATATCTACATAGTATATTATAGTAGAGCAGCGAAGCGCCAGGACACCTCGCTGGGCCTCCCTGTGGAGGTGCCCTTCCAAACCCTACTGGGTTGAGGGTTGAGGGTTTGGGGTTTAGGGTTTAGGGCTAGGGTTTAGGGTTTCGGGTTCAGGGTTTGGGTTCAGGGTTTAAACCCTGAACAACGCTCAATGCAGCCTTGCAAACTCTTATCGACCCTTGTAGAAGCCCAACAGGCCCTTAGAAGCCCTTACATACATGGGGGGGGGGGGGGGGGGCTGGTCTGAGGTGTCTTGGGGCTTTGTGCTACAGTTTAGGGTCTAGGGCTTAGGGTTTAGGGTTTAGGGTTGAGGGTTAGAGGTTCGGACCGATGATGCAGGCACTCTGCTTCAGAAGCTCTTGCGCCGCAAGGGACGATTTCGGATCAGCAGAAGCTCCGTGCCATCGAAAAGATGGGCGAAGAAAAGCTGCCTGAGCAAGCGGCCTTCCAGATGGTCACCCAGATGACATCCGTCCGTGATGATCTGGAGGACGTCATTCCACCGAGGGCTTAGGGTTGAGGGTTTAGGGTATTTCGGGTTTAGGGTTTAGGGTAGGTGTATTGTGGCAACACTACGACAGTCCATCGCAAAATGCAAGCCAATACATACCTATACATACACACACGCACATGTGTAGCTCTCCGAGTCAGGGTTCCTTTTTTGGGGGGCCCCTATTTTATCAAGGGAATACCCCTCAGGTTGTACCCCTGAAGGTTTTTCTTAATGTACGCCTAGTATGCCCCTTATACTATCTTAGGGATTTGTACAAAGGATCCCCAAACCCAAGGCTACCACCTTAGAGCTTCGATATAGAGTCCCTTGATCTAAGACGGCACCTGATAAAAAGGACCCAGAAAAGGAACCCTACTTCGGACAACTACCCACGTATGCAAGTATACTGTACAGAGTATCTTTTTCAGAGGTCTATTTAGGGTTTAGGGTGAGGATTCCGGCCATTGCAGGACTCTGCTGCGCACGGGGCCCTCATCGGAACCCTGATGCTGACCCTAGAAGCCGGGCACCCTAATTCCCAGCAGGAGCCTTAAGTGGGCATTTCCCAACCTACCCCTGATGCGCCCGAACATACTATGGAGTCACAGTCCTGATTCTGGGACCTCCCCGGCCCCTCCACTACCCAAAATAGGATTGCCAACAACAGAGGCCCTAAGCCCTACACCCTAAACCCTAAACCCTAAACCCTAAACCCTCAACCCTAAACCCTAAACCCTGCAGCCCAAAGAACCTGCACATGCCAACGGAGGTGGGAAATGGTCTTCCGTACCACCTGACGGGCATCAACTTCGGCACGTCCGGGAATGGGAAGATCCAGGCCATCAGGGGTTTAGGGGTTTAGGGTGTAGGGTTTAGGGTTTAGGTTTAGGTTTAGGGTTTAGGGTTTCGAGGACCCGAATCCCTGAATCCTCAACCTTAATGTGAAGGGGATCACTGAACTTGCAATACTTGCACTTAGTAAGTAGGGGTATAAGTACTTTAATTGGGCTTGCAAGTAAGTATAACTAGAGTTACCGTACTTATAACCCCACACCAAGCCCCCTGATCCTTTAAGTAGCGATCCCAATATGATTGCTAAATCCTGAACCAGCAAAATAGCGCAACTAAAGCCCAACAATCACTCCGTAAAGAATTCCTACAGAACTAGGTACTTGTGAAGCCCTGAGTTACGACACTGCCGAAACCTAGAATGAGGTCAGGTCTACTTGGAAGTTCATGGTACTTCTTCAACCAAATATAACTGTACTTTATACACCAATTGTGCACCAAGTACTTAATCATCGGGTTATAAGTACACCACCACAGGGGGTTTAGGACTTAGAATGACCGTGCTTGCACCGATCAACCCCTCGTCTTGCATCAAAAAGCGTAAAACCCCGCCAACGTAGACCGCGCGGCAGTTCAGAATAGGAGGGTTGGCAGGTTCGTCGAGCTTTTTTTAGGACGGGGACCCCTGTTTATTTCTTGCCACGGTTTTCAAACACAGCTCTTTTGCTTCGCAATCAGAGTCAGAGAAGCCTCTGCAGCTCAGCGGTACCCTTTACCTTTTTTTGTTTGGTTCTGGGTTCCCTTGTAAAGTAAGGGTGCCTTATCATAACATGGTTACCGGGAGACCAAGATCGAGTTCATGCAGGGTTTATTGGAGTTGTAGGGTTCATAGGGCTTAATTATAGGCTTTGGGATCTAGTGAAGCCCCCTCCGAGGTGATGTTGGGCGACCGCCTCTGCAACATCACCACCCGCAGCGATGGCGAGATCTATTGCGTTGTCGACGGACCCCTCCGCCGACAACTCAGGGGGAAGATATCGGGCCCGTAACCCTAAACCTAAACCCTAGACCCTAGACCCTAAACCCCACACCCCCCCTCCCCCGCTGAGCCTTGTGGACATTGGGCCATCTTTTCTCAGCGTTTAGGGTTTAGGGTTCAAGGATTTCCGAAAGCCGCCGAAACCTAGAGCCCCTAGACCCTAAACACCCTCCAGCCCCAGAAGTCGCTTCAGCCCTTAAGCCCTTAAACCCCAAAACCCTAAACCCAAAACCGAAATTCCTAAACCCTAAGCCCTAAACCCTAAACCCCAAACCCTAAACCCTAAACCCCAAACCCTAAACCCTAAACCCTAAACCCCCGGAAAGCTTAAAACCCACGAAACCAGTTTCACGGGCCTTGCGACCCGGCAATGGAAAACCCTGGGTTGAGGGTCTCAGTCTAGGCTTCAGGGTTAAGAAGGTTAAGGATTCATAGGGTTTAGGGTTTAGGGTTTAGGGTTTAGGGTTTAGGGTTTAGGGTTTAGGGTTTAGGGTTACGGTGCAGAGTGTCTTGCGGCTGTAGGGTTTTGAGGGTTTAGAGGGCTAAGGGTTTATAGGCTTTGGGGGTTCGTAGTTGTGGGGTTTAGCGACTGTAGGGTTGTTAGGGGCTCGGGGCCAACACCCTAGCCCCCCTCTAAACTTCAAACCGCTAACATCACATCATACCGACAAGAATAAGCTTTCGGCACCTCGCAAAAATTGAAAGGAACTACCATGTGGGATCTAGAGTTCGAGGTCCAGCTGGAGGTCGCGAGGTACCACCCTGAACCCTAAACCCTAAACCCTAAACCCTAAACCCTAAAACCCTAAAACCCTAAAACCCTAAAACCCTAAAACCCTAAAACCCTAAAACCCTAAAACCCTAAACCCTAAACCCTAAACCCCGGGGAAACACACTCTAAGTAGGATTTTCAACAGTCGGGGGAGAAGGAGGCTTCCGTTCAAAAACTACGTTTGGCGTTTTGGCTAGATTTACACTAAACCCTAACACCCAAACCCGAAACCCTAAACCTTAATTAACCAAACCCAAATCCCAAACCCTGTCTCTAACCCCCGACCAGCAGACGTCAAACTGCACTCAAGGTGATGACTTGGCGTCCATCTACCCAGAGACACCGGTGAACGACAGCCACTGTCCCAGCTTTCCGTAAGTTGCTAAACCCTAAAACCTCAACCCTTCAGGCTTAGGGTTTAGGGTTTAGGATTTAGAGTTTAGGGTTTAGGATTTAGGGGCTACACTCTATCCTATGGTTGACTGTGAGTGAGTGATATTCTTTTTTTTGTTCTCTAGTCGCCATCCGAGTGTTAGGGCCTCAACGTGCATAGGACCAGCAACCTCCCAGGCGTAAATGTATATGGTCTCTAAACTACAGTCCCTTTTGGGGTCCTTGTTACAAGGCGGCCCCGCCCATTTAGGGTAACCCAAGAGGGTCCATACTCTAGAAAACTCACCATATATGTGTATGAGAGAGGTATGTGCACATGTAAATGTACATGCAGACTTGGAGCTTCATGGTACTTTGAGCCATAGCTGCACTTGTAACCCACGGAGAAGCCCCTTAAGTATCCGAATCAGGCTATCAAGGAATTGGGTTATTATGTACCCTGAACCTCCAAGTATGGCTTGTGTGAACCCAGCCCTAGGTCAAGGTGCTGTGGACATCGTCATCCCTGTGCCAGTCCCTCCTCCGACTTTAGTGCTTGGCGGCTTTTCGGGTTTTAGGGTTTCAGGTTAGAGGGGAGTTTGGTTTGCGGGTTTTAGGGTCTTCGGGCTTAGGGTTTAGGGTTACAAGTTTCAGCAGCGAAGACGAAGTTCCCAAAAAGATGCAGGGTCTCTTGAATGCCGTTTCGAGTTTGACATTTCGACTGTGCCTTGTCGAGTCTAAGCTCTACGCACCCCGAACGCACTCACCTTGAGACCACAAAAGGTCCAAGACCCTCAAACCCCCGAAACCCCTAAACCCCTAAACACCTAAACCCCTAAACCCCGAAACCCTAAACCCTTGCCCTGGGAACTTCGAATCTGTGCGATTTTGCAACCGTCTTTAAGAGTGACACCGGGGGTTTAGAGTTCAGGGATTCCCGTTGTGGGCGCCAGGTTCCGAAAAAAAGCCGCAGCATGCTGCTTTAGTGTTCAGGGTTTACAGAGGGTGTAGGGTTCAGGGTTTAGGGTTTAGGGTTTAGGGTTTACAGAGGGTTTACTTGGAGGATCGGGGCACTTTAGTAAGTAGGGTTACAAGTGCCGGAATTGGGCTTGCAAGCAATTTTGAGTACAGTTACCTTACTTGTAACCCCACTTTCCAAGCCCCCCGATCCTTTAAGTAGGGTGGAGCACTGGGGCCACTTTAGGAATAGGGTGCAAGAATTGCAACTGCAATTGCGGTTGAGGGTTCGCGCTTTAGCAAACTTCAGGGTTCAGGGTACCCTGACAGCTAAACTCCCGAGCACCTACCATGAAGCCTAAACCCTAAGTCCCCAACGCCCTAGGTTCACTGTCACCGTGCAATGTTGAGGGGGATTCAGGCGTACGCAGTCGTCTTTCATCCTGGGTTGTTCTGGGACCTAGCTACAGTGCCTTGACAGGACCACGGCCGAACCCTCAACACCAAGACATAATCACCTGCACACACTTCAGGTTTAAGCTCTAATTAGGGCTTTCGCCTTCCCTTAGACTCCAAGTGTACCGATGCTAACTACTGATGCTGTCGCCTTCGAAATCGCCGGGGAAATATACCTACTTTGGTTTAGTGGGTTTCTGGGTTAAGGTTCCGCTAAGGTGGCAGGGTAGAGAGCCCTGGTGACAGGCCCCTTCAAATCTCCGCTTAGAGGTTACAAGCGGTGTAACCATGGCCCTAAGAGGTCACCATCTTATTCGGGTACTTTCAAGCATCGAGCGTGGGAGGTGTGGCTGACCATGGGCAGTAGCTCCACGTCCTCTTCCCAGGTGCCCAGGGTTCCGTGCACCGGTTAGCCCTAAGCCCTAAGCCCTGCACTCTTAGGGTTTAGGGTTTAGGGTTTAGGGTTTAGGGTTTAGGGTTTAGGGTTTAGGGTATCGCGAGGTACCATAAACATGAGTTTTCAAAACTGTGTCCAAGAGTCCAGTCATGGGTCTGAGGTCTTTTCGAAATCTGTTCAGCGTGGGGGGGGGGGGGGGTTAGGGGGTTCGCGCATTTGAGGAGCCATGTACTTCAATGGGCTGTGCATGGGCGTTAGAGTAGTGCCCATACTAAACCCGACACCCCAAACCGCAAACCCCAAACCCCAAACCCCAAACCGCAAACCCCAAACCCAACCCCAAACCCCAAAACCCCAAACCCCAAACCCCAAACCCCAACCCCAACCCCCAAACCCCAAACCCCAAACCCCAAACCCCAAACCCCAAACCCCAAACCCCAAACCCCAAACCCCAAACCCCAAACCCCAAACCCCAAACCCTAAACCCTAAACCCTAAACCCTAAACCCTAAACCCTAAGCCAGGCCCCCTCTTCCGAAACTTGAAAAGTTCTGGGACTCCGGGTTTTGGCCCTGAAGCCTGGTTTGGGGAGGCCTTGTTGGAGGGTTTAGGGGGGGTGTAGGGTTTGGGGTTTAGGGTTTGGGTTTAGGGTTTAGGGTTGAAGGTTCAGGGCTTAGGGTTTAGGGTTTAGGGTTTAGGGTTCAGGGTTCAGGGTTCAGGGTTTAGGGTTTAGGGTTTAGGAGGTTCCCTTGTATAGTAGCCAACCCCATTACCCCTAATCTTAATTTGGCCCTTATACTCCCTTAGGGATCCTTGCAAAGGGACCCCAAAACCCAATGGTACAGCCTTAAGGGTCCAAGGTAGCATCCCTAGAGAGCTTTACAAGGTGCCCTAAGCCCCAAACCCCAAACCCTAAACCCTAAACCCTAAGCCCTAAGCCCTAAACCCTAAACCCTCAACCCTAAACCCTAAACCCTAAACCTTAAACCCAGCCTTCGGAGGACTGCGAGCCGCTCGCGGCCAACTGGACCTCACACGTCGTTCACCTCCTTGCCTGCTTCTTGGCTGGAGGTGCTGGGATTTAGGGTTTAGGGTTTAGGGTTTTGGGTCATGAAATACAATTTTTTCTGGCTTTATAATCATTATATAGGGGATTGAGGGCAAGAAAATTACAAGTTATGTTCAAACCCACCTCTGGGTGGGGTTTCAGAGGCCGGGGTCCCGAGGTACCTAGAATAGGGTTAGTAGGGTTTAGGGTTGAGTGGTTGAGTGGTTGAGTGGTTGAGTGGTTTCCAAAATAGGGCCCTATCTACAATACTCTTGTAGATAGGGCCCTATTTTGGAAACCACTCAACCACTCAACCACTCAGCCCTAAACTCAATTAACCCTATTAGGGTTGAGGGCTCAGGTTGAGGGGTCCTGTTGGTTGAGAGTTGGCCGGCAGGGCAGAGAAGGTTTGCTACCCCCTAAGCTCTAAGCCTAAACCCTATAGAGACCCAAAACCTCAGACAGGTGTCAGAAAAAAAGATCAAAGGTAGTGCTTATGGTGGGAGATGCTGGCGAGCAGGCTGCTGTCATGGCATCGTTCAAACCCTGAACCCCGTACGTGCTGATTGTGCTGCATGCACTATTCATCTTAGCGCAGTACCGGTGCTTCTCTCCGCTGCCTCCCGTATTCTGAACGAACCAATAGCTTGGAATGTTCACCCTTATACTCACAGGGTTTTAAAATCGCAGCTGCAAAGGTTTAGGGTTTAGGGTTTAGGGTTAAGGGTATTACATCCATGTACATCCATTGGGCAGAAACTGTAAGGCAGCATCATTCGGCGCACCCTGTCGAGACTCCCCTGCACCTGAAAGGCTAAAGAAACCCTCAACCCTCAGCCCTCAACCCTAACCCCTCAACCCTCCACCCTCAACCCTCAACCCTCAACCCTAAACCCTAAACCCTAAACCCTAAACCCTAAACCGCTCTAAACCCTAAACCCTCAACCCTCAACCCTCAACCCTCAACCCTAAACCCTTCGGCAAGTGCCTCCAAAGGTAAAGCCGGGCAGTTTCGAGAGAACATCACGAATGACAATTGCACAGACTGTGTGCCGGGATGGTACACACCCGTGGCAGGAGGGGACTACTCGGTTTAGGGTTTAGGGTGTAGGGTGTAGGGTGTAGGGTGTAGGGTTTAAGGGTTGGAATCAGAGTAGGCCGTTATTCCATGTTTTTGGGGGGTTCTCGGTTCCCTTTCAAGCCCCTTTAACCCAAAGTAGACCTGAATTGTGGTCCTTTTGTAGGGTTCCTAGTAGTCATACAATGTGACTATACTACTCAGCAGGTAAGCTTCAACTTTTGCGCGATGAACCCTTAAATGCAGTACTGGAAGGTAACCCTTTCTTATATTTAGACAAAAAGGAATCATTATGTATTCTTGGGGCATCATAGCTCACTTGAACAGCTCAGAGATTAGGGCTTTGGCCTGGATTTGCGGTTTAGGGTTTGGAGGTTGTGTTTCGGGTTTGGAGGTCTTTTGTTCCTGCGGCAGAGCAGGACTGCAAAGCATTCGCAGCTCGAGCAGAGGGAGCAGGTTTGCAAAACCCTGAAACCCCAGACCCAAACCCAGCAAAACCCTAGGCCCTAATGTCGGGGTCGGAATAACTACTTGTAGCATCTCCTTACGGTCCCTATATATTTATACTTTTTTTGACCTTCTAAACCCTAAGCCCTAAACCCTAAACCCTATTCCAACTATTACTGCCCGTATACTCCACCCCGGCCAGGACCTTTCCCGACATGCCTAGCTTGCACAGAGTCGTCCCTGGGCTTGCTGTTAGCTTAAACTCTTAACCCTAAACCCCCTGACCCTAGCCCTGAACCCTAAACCCCTAGCCCTAAACCCCAAACCCCCTAGGCCTAAAGGGATGTGGAAGGGCGTCGGGGTGGAGCTTCAACCGGGCTCTAAGGTATGCATCGTTTCTGGGCTTGCGGAGCTTTAGGGGCTTAAAATACCGAACCCTAGAAACCCTGTATACACCCTGAAAACCCTAAAGTTTAGGGTTTAGGGTTTGGGGTTTAGGGATTGCTGTAGGGTTTAGGGTTTACGGCTTAGGGATTCGGGATTTCAGTTTTAGGGTTTAGAGTCCCGTGTTTGCGGGGGGTCTTGTGGTGCTTAGGCTTCCGTGGAGGGCTCTGAGAATACCTTAGACGTGGAGGGTTGTGGATGCCATCAGAGGTTAAACCCAGACCCTAAAGCCTCGAACATAGGGGTCGGACTAGTTTCCTCATAGTATTTCCTCATAGTCCCTTTATAAAAATTCTGAAATAATCCCCAAAAGCCCAAAACTTTATTTTAATTAGGAAGGCCCGTACGCTATTTATACTGAAATATATCCCCCCAAAACCCTATTCTAATTATACTAAAAACTCTCCCAAAACCCTATGCTAACTATGAAGGCCCCAACTACTACTTAGGTTTCACCCCTAAACCCTAAACCCTAAACCCTAAACCCTAAACCCACTGGATTCTGGATGCTGGGAGCTTTGAGGTTCAGTGCAGGGTCTAAGTTTGAGGCTCAGGTTGTGAAGGCTTCAGGTTCAAGGTTTGGGTTTTAGGGTTTATACGGTTTAGGGTTTAGGGTTTAGGGTTTGGGATTTTCAGTTTGGGGTTGACCCTAACCCGTAAGCCCGGTGGTGAAGGATTCAGGCCCCTCAACCCTGAAACTCATCACTCCCCCTCCCTGCCCAAGGTCCTTTGCCAACCAGTACGGCAGCACAGCAACCTGGCTCGCTTCTAACCTCGGACCCGTAAGGTTGAAACCCCTACAGGGTTTTGGGTGCAGGGTTTATACTCTACTAAACCCTAAACCCGATAAACCCTAAACCCCCCAAACTGTGCATTGCTGGTAAGGCGCCCTGCAACCGACACCTAATTATCTAGAATCAGAACAGAGCGTCCAGAGGCAACCAGCGATGTGCGCGTGCAATCCAGTGCGACAGCCTCCTTCAAGTAAAGAGGCACCCTCAACTAAACCCTAAAGCCTGAGCCCCAGGTTCCCGAGGTACCTCCCTCCCTTCCATTGAGGACCCTACTTATATGGACCCTGGGGCTACGAACCCTAAACCCTTAACCCTAAACCTGGGGCTAGGGAAGGATCAGGGAACCCTGAAAGAGTTATGACTACGTGGGCAGTTCTCTAAATTAGGGCTTTCTTGTGGGTTATAATATAGTACGGTTCATCCTGAACCCTTAGGGTTTAGGGTTTAGGGTTTAGGGTTTAGGGTTTAGGGTTTAGGGTTTAGGGTTTAGGGTTTAGGGTTTAGGGTTTAGGGTTTAGGGTTTAGGGAAACCCTAATGTAGGGTGCTAGGCTCTCAAGGATACCCTAAACATTCTCACAGTCTCCCCCCCTGTTAGCCCAGCACAGGTTCGGAGGGCTTGGGACTTAGGGTCCCTGAATGACCCTAAACCCTAAACTAGGGTTTAGGGTTTAGGGTTTAGGGTTTAGGGTTTAGGGTTTAGGGTTTAGGGTTTAGGGTTTGGGGTTTGGGGTTTGGGGTTGGGGGTTTAGGCTTAGGGTTTAGGGTTTAGGGTATGTCTGGTAAGCCCTACCGGGGCTGTTTCTTCTCCTCCCACTTGGCCCGAGGCGTGTACGGAGTGCCCCAGCGGCCGCCACACCCTCGAGTCAGGGTCTGGCTCTGCCTTGGACTGCCTTTGCCAAGCAGGTGGGAAGAGGGCTGGGGTTTAGGGTTTAGGGTTTTAGGGTTTAGGGTTTAGGGTGTAGGGTTTAGGAAATTTGGGCTGAAAAAGGGTTTAAGGGCTTAAGGGCCTGGTCTTTTGGGAGGAACTGTCTCCGCTTTTTGGGGCAGACCTGATCTTCTTTGAGGGATCAGCGGTTGCAGGGGGAGGGCTTCAGAGTAGAGGGCTTAGGGTTTAGGGTTTAGGGAGTTTAGGGTTTAGACTTCGGGGTTGTTTGCTTGAGGTCGCTGGGTTGACATTGGTTTCTGAAGGGATGGGCCACGGGATCTACAACGGGAACATACCTGTATGTTTATTAGGTGTTGGGACAGGTATCCTGAACAACTCGCACATAAGACATAAGGTTTGAGATTTAGTTTTTGGGGGGCGGAAAGTGGAAAGGTTGCTTCTTGCCCCCCCATGACGATGCTGCCTCCCTGGCTCAATCCCGCAGTAGAGGGCTTAGGGTTTAGGGTTTAGGGTTCAGGGCCGAGTTAGCATCAAAAACCCGGTGCTCGGTTTCAGACTCTGGGATCAGGCACAGTCAAAAAATTTGCGATAGGAAAGGTTCAAAAGTCTACGAGTGTGTGGGACCTTTCTTAAATAATTATGCAGAGGTAGGTTTGAGATGAGAATCTTGAAAACATGTCTGAGTTAGCCCTGACCAACCCTGCAGACATCCGGCCCTCCACCAGCCCTCCACCAGCCCATATCTTAGCACTGTGCTGTTCCAGGGTTTAGGGGTTAGGGTTTAGGGTTTAGCCCTCCAGCCCTCCAGGCCTCCAGGCCTGCAGGCCTCCAGCTGGAAGGCTAAAGTAAACCCAAACCCTGGTGTAACTGGCTTTTGGGGAGGTGATCGAGACCCTTAACGTAATCATGTTTTCAGCTTCATAAACTTTCTTAACGCGAAGTTCCACTGAATCCCGAAACCATCAACCCCCCCCCCCCCCCCCAAATGCACGAAGTTCAACAGTTCACTTCCGTCTAAAAATGGTCTTGAACTGGGGGGGGGGGGGGGGGGGGGGGTGTCCGAATGGTCCTTCAGACGGATGGGCCGTTGGGGAAAAAGTTAAGGATAGGGGTCCTATCCAAAACGGGAATACCTCATGATTTTTTTTGGGGACAGGTGTTCTGAACAACTAGCGGACACACGTCGTTAAGGGTTAGTACGTGGTCTCCTATGCTGGTTCCCTACCTTCGAGGAATCTAGCAACAAAAGCCCTGCCTCACATGAAGGCAAGGTGATGAACAACTTGGTCTCATCTAAACTAGCAACTGGATCTCCTCCCCGTGAGTGTGAGTGTGAGTGTGAGTGTGCTATGTGTATGTGTATTGTGTATGTATATGTGTATGTGTATGTGTATGTGTATGTGTATGTGTATATATGTGTGTGTGTGTGTGTGTGTGTGTGTGTGTGTGTGTGTGTGTGTGTGTGTGTGTGTGTGTGTGTGTGTGTGTGTGTGTGTGTGTGTGTTTGTGTTTGTTTTTGTTCGCTCTTTTTCTGGCGTCCCTGATAGAACTACGCAAGGAAAACTGCAGGAAGCCCATTTTCAATGCTAAGTTGCCAGCACGCGCCATGTTCGCCGAGAAGCGGGCCGCCACTAGTATCTGCCATGAAGAAGGACAGCACCCCTTTACTGTTTTAGGGCTCACAACGGTTTAGTTCAGGGTCCTAAACCCTAAACCCTAAACCCTAAACCCTAACCCTAAACCCTAAACCCTAAACCCTAACCCTAAACCCTAAACCCTATACCCTATACCCTATACCCTATACCCTAAACCCTAAACCCTAGACCCTCAGATTTGCTCCATCAGTGCCACACTCTTTGATGTTTCCTGAGGTATGCGCCTTTGCGCAAGCTGAAGATGCCCACTATCGACTCAAAGCCGAACCCAAGTCCTGAGCCCTAAGCCCTAAGCCCTGTGCCCTCAACCTCATCCAAAAGCCAGTCACCCCCCCAGAACCCTATCCCCAGGCCCAAACTCGCCGTTTAGGGTGTAGGGTTGAGGGTTTTTAGGGTGTTTTTTCTTGTTATTAGGGATATTAGGGTTCCTGGGCTTTTTGCCTGAACCTCTTGCATTGAAGTCCGTGCTTTTAGCAGCTCACTGGCTCTTCAGCGCTTTCCACGAAACTTCTTAGAAGCTTTGGTGGGGAGATGAGCATGCAACTTTTTGCTGATGGTGCTGCTACCAAGAATGGGCTGCTTGGCTTGTTCAGCCACTCAAATCCCCATCGTTGGGTTTCATGTGTGTGTGTGTACTTATATGCGCATGTATCCTTAAATTGGTAAGTTGCGCTTATTTTCGTTTCCTCTAAGTTTATGTACACATCGCAGGTAAGGTAGAAATAGGACCCTGCATGGTTCCCTTTTGGGTTTCCCGCTGGAGCATTCCTTCCGAAGAGGAGGTTTGGGGAGTTCCAGAAACATGCGCTTCGTTTTGAAGGGCTCAGGAGTGGCATGCAGAGAAAGAAGCCTAAGCATAAACCCTAAACCCTAAACCCTAAATCCAAAACCCCAGAGGCCCTGAACCCTAAGCTATCGTTGCTATTCATGTGTCGGCTCCGCTCTTGTCAGATAACGTCAAGTTGACAGTTCCCCCGAAACTGATCTTCTTTCTGACACTCTCGTCATCTAAAGAAAGGTTTAGGGTTTAGGGTTTCGGACGATATATTATTGCGGGTTTCCGAAATTGGGGGGGGGGGGTAAGTTATTGGGGGTCCTTGTAACAAGGGAATCCTACTATTTGGGGTCTACTTTAGGGTCCCCTTATTCTCGTCAACCCCCATATTTCTTGGTATCCTGTTTTCCCACTGTTTGGGTTCAAGGTCCCCTATCAAGTAATCAGCCCCCAACAAAGGGTGCCCTGATGAAAGGCTGGTTTCTGGGCTACCGAGCAGGTCCACTAGGACTACTACTACTGCTACTACTACTACTACTACTACTACTACTACTACTACTACTACGACGATGAACGCTTGTAGTTCCGACACCAACATTCTCGACCCTCGGCCAAATCTCTAAACCCTGAACCGTAAATCCTAAACCCTAAAATGGGGGGGGGGGCCAGGGTTGATTGCTCAGGGTGTAGGGATCCTCTCGCTCCTTTCCCCAGTAGACATGGCAAATTGTACACGGCAAGCTTTCAGCAGTACCAGCAGAACAGAAACTAAAGTTTCAACCCCTCCCCTGCCCCCCTCCGCTGCCCAATCCAACTTGTGAGTATAGCCCCTGAACTCTCAGCCCTAAGCCCTAAACAACTCTACGTACTACGTGAAACGGGCTTACAAGTAAACCCTTAAAACCCCAAAGAGCCCTCAACCCCAAAAAATCAATTGTGCACAGGCTCATTGCAGAGCCGATGCCCGTGCGGGCGCCGCCAGGTCTTCCTCGTCCTGCTGCAGCCGTACAGGCCCAGAGGGGGCTAAACCCTAAACCCTACACCGAAACCCTGAACTCTAAACCCTCAGCCCTAAACCCTCAGCCCTAAACCCTAGACCCTAAACCCTAAACCCTAAACCCCTAAACCCCAAACAATTGGTTACTTGATGCTGTCGGTTTTGCATCTCTTCAAATTGCTCTTGGAGACTTTTGAGGGTTTCTGGGTCCCTTGCATGTCCTGGCTTGCCTAAATCGGGAGCGGACCGGCCGGTCTGGCCCTAAACCCTAAACCCTAAACCCTAAGCCCTAAGCCCTAAATCCTAAACCCTAATCAGGTTTGGGGCCCTCGGGTCTAAACAGGGCTGGGCCCCAAATTCTGGGATCTTATACGAACCCTCAGGTTGTTGGTTCAGGGAGCCCTAAACCCTAAACCCTAAACCCTAAACCCTAAACCCTAAACCCTAAACCCTAAACCCTAAACCCTAAACCCTAAACCCTAAACCCTAAACCCTAAACCCTAAACCCTAAACCCAACTAAAGCTTCCCCATGCGCTGCTGAGCATAGCACCCCCCAAAACCCCAACCCCTAAACCCTGCAACCCTTAAACTGCCGAAAGCTAAACCCTAAACCTTAACATAAGGAAGGATCCTACCGTTGGGGTATAAGGGCCCCTATCACAGAGGTAGGTTAGATTTTTTTCAATTTTCTAGTACCCCTAATCCCCTATATAATCACTATACAGAACTTTTTAAGCCCTGAACTGTTTAAACTCTAAGTCCTAAACCCTAAACCTAAGCCCTAAACCCTAAACCCTGAACCCTGAACCCTAAACCCTAGGGGAGTCTCGAGAGAGGTGCAACTTGGCATTCCGCCACCGCCGGGGCTCGAGAAGCTCGAGAGCTCAAATGTGCCAAGACCTGTGATTCCTTGGACTCTTGGCTCGATTTGTTTAGGGTTGAGGGTTTAGGGTTTAGGGTTTAGGGTTGAGGGTTTAGGGTTTAGGGTCTAGGGTCTAGGGCTCAGAGCTTGCCAGGCTGTACAGGGTTTAGGGTTAGGGTTTGGTAGTTTGTAGGGTTCAGGGTTTAGGGTTTAGGGTTTAGGGTTTAGGGTTTAGGGTTTAGGGTTTAGGGTTAGGGCTTAGGGCTTAGGGCTGGGGCGTATGTTAGGCTTTAGGGTTTATAAGCGCTGAATGAGCAGGCGGTTGGGTTTGAGGGCTCGAAGAATGACCCTCCACACCCCCAGATGCCAAGCGGGTAGCCCTAAACCCTCAACCCTAAACCCTAAACCCTAAACCCGAAACCCTAAACCCTAAACCCCAAACCCCAAACCCCAAACCCCAAACCCCCAAACCCCAAACCCCCAAACCCCACACCAGAAAAGGTGCTGGGGTAGCTTTGGGCACCCACAGCTCTGCGCACGTCCTTGCGTGTACATGGTGAAGGGGGCAGGACCGCAGTTTGGCGGGAGGGTCTTCACATAAAACCCTAAACCCCAAACCCTAAACTCTAAACCCTAAACCTTAATTAATCTCTAACCTAAGTCCGAGGTCTATACTGAGGTGGAGTTGAAGGTTTGCAGTTTGAGGCCTTAGGGTTCCGGTGTTTGGGGTCGGGAGCCACACGTTGTCATGGCGTTTGCGGTCATTTGGGGTACGAGTTCATTCCTGAGCTTGGGGGCTTTATGAGCCACGTGAGCTCCGGCTGCAGGTGGTTTATGGGGTCAACTTGGAGGTTCATGGGCCACGGGTAGTTCTAAGTACAAGTAGGGTTATATGTTCACAAAAACTAAACTGAGTAGCTGAGTGAGTACACTTTACACTTTTTGGGATACTACAATCCCCTGTAGAACTGAAAGTGTACACTTTTGGGGGCCTTTGAACTCAGCAACTAAGTAAATAAGGTTCTCTCTAGAGTTCTCCTACCTATAAACCCTACTTAGAAGTAGGTCGAGTCCGAAGAAGAGGCGCCCTGAGCCGAGAGAAGCGACCATTGGGCCGAAGTTTAGGGTTTAGGGTTTAGGGTTTAGGGTTTAGGGTTTAGGGTTTAGGGTTTAGGGTTTAGGGTTTAGGGTTTAGGGTTTAGGGTTTAGGGTCAGCTAGCCTTATTGGAGCTTGAACGACAGCAGTTGTACAACGTTCGACCCTGCACATATGACACTTGACGGTTCATAAGTAGCTACAAGTATAAGTACCCTAAACAAGGTTATATAAGCATTTATATCTACAGAAACCGTCCTTTTTGCCCCAAGTTATGTGCCCCAGTAACCTGCATGTGCCTTTAACCCTTACGTGAAGGTTCCGCGATCTTACGAATTGGTTTAAGGTTAGGGGTTAGGACTTGCTATAGCTGGTTATAGTCGGGGATAGAATCCGACTTAAAATTCATGTCCTTAGCTGGCCTTAGACAGGCTTCCTCCCAATTTTAAGCTGACTGACCCCAATTACACTAGTTAAGAAGCCCTTACCTAAACCTAAACCCCATGGTCTTGCAGAGCGCCGAACGGCCCGCTCATGCCGAAAAGCCTTAAACCAACCCTTCGACAACAAAAAAACCTACCAACCCAAGAAAGCCAACAAAAACCAACCAACAAAACCCAGGAACCCCTAAACACCCCACAAAACCACCACAAGCCCTAAACCTTACAGAGCCCCTGAACCGCATGTTGGCAGGATGCCCAACCGGCTTCCAATGCGAATATTGCCACCTTCCCCACGCGGAGGAGACGTTCAAGCCGGCGTCTGGGCCAAAACAGGGTTCAGGGTTCAGGGTTCAGGGTTTAGGTTCAGGGTTTAGGGTTTAGGGTTTAGGATTTAGGGTTCAGGGTTCCGGGTTTAGGGTTTAGGGTTTAGGGTGTAGGGTCTTTAAAACTGACTGGACTCCGAGTTCCGAGTTCCTGCCTTCAACTCGTAGTCCTTACGAACTGTAGTTCAGGGACTTAAAACCTAAGAAATGCGTAGGGTTTGGGTGTAGGGTTTAGGGCTTACAAGGTCTTAGGGCTCAGGGTTTAGGGTTTAGGGTTAAGGGTTTAGGGTTCAGGTTTAGGGTTTGTAAACTCCATAAGCCTGTAAACCCCATAAACCCTATGCTGCAAGCCCTGTATACCCTGTAAACCCTCTATAACCACCCCCCCCGCCCCCAAACCCCATAAACCCCTTAGTCCCTATAAACCCTATAAACCCTTTTTACAAACCCTATCTAGGATGCCCAGTCCCTTTTTGGTGGGTTTAGGTTGCCTTATAAACCCTTCAAGCAAAAAAGTGAACCCTTTTTAATCCAGGTTACTGGGCAACCTAGCTATCTACCTATATATATATATACATATTTTTTATATTTATATTTATATTTATATCTATATGTATATTTATATACCTAGCTATATATATATATATATAAACCCTACAAACCCCACAAACCATGTCTCTACTCTGGGCACGCCCTGAAGCTAAGGACAAGCGCCAGCGGCTGTGTCTTAGCCACCTGAGTGACCAGGAGCTCCCCGGGTTCAGGGTTTGGGGTTTAGGATTTAGGGTTTAGGATTTGGGGTTTAGGGTTTATGGGGTTTAGAGGGTTTGAAGTGTTTGGAGGGTTTAGAGAGGTCATCGGGCTTAGAGGGCATATAGGGTTTAGAGTTTAGAGTCTAGGCTTTCGGCATTTGTTTGGGTGTGCTTTGGCCCTGACCCGTGCTTCTTGACTGCGGAGTCAACCCCAAACCCTAAACCCAGCAAACCCTACAAACCCTCTAAGGGTAGTTTCACGGGCCCTCAATATGGGCCCTTAGGGTATATAAGGGGTAGATAAGGGGTCCCCTTTTTCAGGGTCCATGTTCAGGAACCGTCTAACTACCCTAAGAAACCCTACAGACCCTAAAACCTCCCCCAAAGCCCGAACCCCTTAACTGACAAGGCCCTGGGGGCTTGCGAGGTAACCCTGAGCCCAAACCCTACACCCTAAACCCAAACCCTAAACTGCACTCTTGGACCCGGGCGTAGGGGTCCTAGGTGCCGCCGAAATTGACATTCTTGACACTCGGTTTAGGGGTTCAGGTTTAGGGTTTGGAAAGGATGAGGTGACTCTGTAAGTATTGCAGGTAAACAGAGTCAGAAAGACACCGGTACACAAGCAAGACCCTAACCTGACCTGTACCATCACACCATGGTTTTCGTTCCCTCCAAATCTAGTAGCTGACATGAGGTTCCTATCTTGTGTATAGTTGCGCGACAACGGTGTACGGGGTGCAGGCGCTGTCGCGGCGCTGTCTAACTGTCTAACTCATGATTTAAGAAGGTGTGCTGACCGACTGCCACTCAAGTCTCGCAGCAGTGTCCTCTCAAATGCTCAGATGCAGTGGCTTAAGGGTCTCGCTTGCTGCAAACCTGAAAGCCCTCAAGCGCTCAACCTTGAACCGTGGAAAGTTCGACCAAACGGAGACCTTGCAACTTAGACCGGTAGGGTATCGTGGTGCTTCCTAAACCCTAAACCCTAAACCCTGAACCCTAAACCCTAAACCCTAAACTCTAAACCCTAAACCCTAAGCGACCTTCCCACTACATGTGCGGCATCTGTCAGCATGCTGCATGTTTGGAAGCCTTCTGGAGAGGAGGCCGGTCCGTGCCAAGTGGTACCGAACCATGCTGTAACAGCGCACCCACTCAACTTCACACCCTTAACCACCCACTGAACTTCTCACCCTAAACCGGAAAAATTGCCCATGGGTCGGGGTGCTGTTGCAGACTCCTTTCAGACGATACGAAGGTGGCCACCGTGCCCGCAGCACACTATGCGGACGCGAGAAGCCTGAAGCAGCACCTACAGCATCTCCTGAACATTTCAAGATTTCGACAGCGGCTCATTCATGGTGGTGCAGCTTCTACATTTTTCTTGGGATGTTTTTTTATTATTAGTATTAGTATGAGTATTATTATGATTATGATTATGATTATTACTGTTATTCTGTGTATTTCATTTTTGTTTATATAAAACCCAAGAGGATATTAAAATGCTATGATTTTTATTAAGGTTCTAAGGGGCCCGTGTAGGTTTTGGATGATGCTGCGACAGTGGCCTCGCTCACCGATGTTGAGCTGGTGGTGCTGCCCTTCAGCACCGACTCTGACGTGCGCAAGTTCATTCACGAAGCGCTGCATGGCCAGGTGGCAGAGGTAGAGGAGATGTTGCAAGAGAACTGCGACCCCAATGTCTTCGACGTTCGAGGGTACACGGCCCTCATGTATGCCTCATGCACAGGGCACGTTGCCAGGTGGGGTTTTGGGAGATTTGATATTTGCCCTTATTGGGTTTAATAGAGGGTCATATCTAAGATTTTGTTCAGAGGCCTTTAAGGGCCCCCTAAAGCCTAAACCCTAAACCCTAAACCCTAAACCCTAAACCCTAGGTTGAGATGGTGCAGCTCCTGCTCGAGGCGATGGCCGATCCTGACTTGCCTGCGGTGATCACCGGCGAGACGGCCCTCTTCGGCGCCTTAGCAGCTGAATGAGTACACTTGTCTAGGGTTTAGGATTTAGGGTTTAGGGTTTAGGGTTTAGGGCTAGGGTTTAGGCTTTAGGGTTTAGGGTTTTGATACCACCATCCCCTATAGATCTGCAAGTGTACACTGTTTGGATGGCTGATGATCTCAGCAACTCAGGCGCGGCCCTCCGCGGGAAGGAGGAGGCTGTTCAAGTACTGTTGCTAGGTTACTTTTAGGGTTTGGGGTTTAGGGTTTAGGGTTTAGGGTTTGGGGTTTAGGGTTTAGGGCTACTAGGACCAGAGTAGGCCCTTATTCCCCTTTGTTTAGGTTTTAGGTTTCCTTAGAACTCCCCTTAAACCCAAAAGGGCACTCTTTCTCTTCCCTCTGCTATGGGGTTCAAGAGGATGTTTGCTTGGGAGTTTAGTTTCAGAGGGTTGAAGTTTTACACCCCCCTAAGCCCTGAACCCGTAACCCTTTTTTCAAAGGGTCAACCGAGTTCCAAAATCCTAAGCCCTAAACCCTAAACCCTGGAGCGGGGGGGGGGTTTATAGGGGGGTAGGACCTCGGGTGCCTCGTCAGGGAAGCTTAGGGAGCCTCTGGGAGTAGTGGGGAGTATTAGGGAACCTTGGGTTACACCCGCCCTGAACCCCCTAAACCCTAAACCCTAAACCCTAAACCCTAAACCCTAAACCCGAAACCCTAAACCCTAAACCCTAAACGGGCAAGCGAGGTTGCAAGCCGGGGCCTGCGTAAATGCCACCTCCACCAATGGGGTCACTGCCCTCATGAACGCGTCCCACCGCGGCCGGGTGAAGGTCTTGGTAGCCCAGTGGTATACCTTTTTTTGGGGGGCTTATATGTGGGTTCAGGGTTTAGGGTTTGGGGGGGGTTTAGGGTTTAGGTTTTAGGTTTTAGGGGGTTCAGGGCGGGTATGTAACCCAAGGTTGTGCGCCTGCTGGTTGCCGCTGAGGCCGACACGAGCCCAGCCCTTAAGGGATTGAGGGTTTAGGGCGGTGTACGGGTTTTGGGTGTAGGGTGTTTAGGGTTTGGGGTATTTTGGGGTTGAGAAAGGGGTTCCTATAGGTAGCTTCTGGGGGCCTGTCGATATTTTACGCGGGTTTAAGAGGAATCTTGTTTTCCGACGATTAATTTCGGAACACCCTAAACCCTGAACCCTGAACCCTAAACCCTAAACCCTAAACCCTAAACCCTAAACCCTAAACCCTAAACCCTAAACCTTCCGATCTTTTTAAAGGGGCCAACCGAGGAACTTGGCTGCGAAGAACGGGGCCACGGCCTTGACAAATGCGGCCTTGGCCCGGAACCTTGGGGGCCAAAGGATCCTTTTTTAGGGTTTAGGGTTTAGGGTTTAGGGTTTAGGGTTTAGGGTTTAGGGTTTAGGGGGTGGGGTTTAGGGTTAAGGGTTTGGGGTTTGGGGTTTGGGGTTTACGGGTTGTGGGGTGGAGGGTTCGGGGTGCAGAGACTCCAACATCCTTGATTCAGGAGTTTGCCTTAAATGCGCTTCGGACAGGCTAGGGAAATACTCCCTCATATGGGGATGTTGGTGTCCGTGAGTATGGTTTAGGGTTGATATGTCTGGCCTTCTCGCAGTGTAGGCTGTATGGTCACTGTCCCGATTTTGGGGTTCACTTGCTCTCTAAGGAAGATGGAGACGATGCAACTACTGCTAGATGCTGAGGCTGACAGTCGGCGAGCCGTTCCCAGATGCGTCGGCTTGTGTACCCTCTTCCTCTTTCTCATATCCTGTGAGATCTTCTTCAGCGCTTTAACATTCATGGCTGGGGCATCCATGCATCAACGGCTGGTGGCCACCATCGGTATTCTGGCCACCAGCCTTTGTGTCGGCGGGCGAGTACAGGTGCTTTGCAGGTCGTACCTTGGGGGCCACATAAACCCTTTAGGGGCCAGATACCTTAATATGAATTATAGTAGTGGACCCTAAACCCTAAACCCTAAACCCTAAACCCTAAACCCTAAACCCTAAACCCTAAACCCTAAACCCTAAACCCTAAACCCTAAACCCTAAACCCTAAACCTTAGTAGGAATGATGGTAGTATGGGGTACAGTATAGAGCCCCCATCTCAGGGTTCATCTCGTCCCCAAGGTACGTGCCCTGGCTCGCCTTCGCGTCGCTGACGCGCGCCGCCAGGAGGTCGCGAGTTTGCTCTCGGCGATTCAGGCCGCCAAGCACACTTTGAGGCTTAGGGTTTAATTAAGGTTCTTAAGGGCTCATCTTAAGGTTAGGTCTTGTTGGGGGTTCTTAGGGTTGATAAGTTTTGGGTTTAGGGTTCTCAGAGTTTGTAAGTTTTGGGTTTAGGGTTTTAGGGTTCATATGTTTAGGGTTTCTAAACTCAAGCTTGCCAGTGTATTGCTTCTGCAACCTCCAAGCCGGGCAAGCAGTGCACAACTGTCAGCGACCAATGTGTGTGGAGAAACGGACTCTTTGCTTGTGGCTCAAGGGGTTTAATGAGAATTTAGGGCTTGTTGGGAGAAGTGCCTTGAATCCAAGAACCCAGGTGGGGGTTTCCGAAATTCGGGGTAGCTTATTGGGGTCCTGATTATTAATGGAACCCTACGATTTGGGGTCTATATTAGGGGCCCCTTATTTTCGAAAACCCCCAGGTGAGTGAATCGAAACCCTGGGCATAAGCAACTTCAACCCGAGGATAAGGACACTTCCGGGGGTGGGTTGGTTGAGGGTTGAGGGACCCCAAATAGACCCTCCTCAAAGGATCAGTGGACTTAGTAAGCGGGGTTATAAGTAGGGCAACCCTAAACTTAAGCCCTAAGCCCTAAACCCTAAACCCCAAACCCCAAACCCTAAACCTACACTCAGACTTTCTCATAAGCCCAAGTAAGGTACTTATAACCCTGCTTGCTAAGTGCCCCGATCCTCCAAGTATAGGCCCCAGTCACGGCCCGGATTTTGGGTTTAGGGTTTGTTTTGGGGGTTTACCATCACTGACTCCTCTTCTCCCGCTCGATGGTCTTGGGCTGCGGCCCTAGGCGTAGCTTATACGATCAAGCATTTGTTGCTGCTGGGGCTTTAGGGTTTAGGGCGGAGAGCTTTTAGGGTTTTTGGGATGTATACACCCTAATTTTTTAGGGTTTACAACCCCTAAACCCTAAACCCTAAATACCCGAGGGTTTAGAGCTGTAGCGGTTTAAGGCCTAAGACGGCGATGAGGGATTTAGGGGTTCATTTGCATGTTGGTTGTCCTAAGTAGCTATAAGGAGGGTTATAGCTGACCCTCCTTGAAACCCAGCTGTTTCAAAGTGTATAACCTACAACTGGATGCACACGTAACCATGAAGGCTCTGTTCTCAAGTCCTGAACACCAAAAACCCGAAGATCTGGATGCTAAACCCTAAGCCCTGAACCCAAGTTACCTTGCAGCTACCCTACACCCTAAACCCGAAACCCTAATGGAGTCTTCAACAAAGCACTTTGGCATTAGGGTCTTGTGGGCTAGGTTTTTAGGGTTTAGGGTTTTGCGCGCCGAACCCTACACACGGTCAGGAGCGCCTACTCACCTTTCTGCCTGCGATCCGCAAGAAGGCTACGCCGCAATGATGTTAACCTCAGCGTAGGGTTCAGGGTTTAGGGTTTCGGGTTTACGGTTTAGGGTTTACGGTTCAGGGTTTTGGGTTTAGGGTTAGGGTTTAGGGTTTAGGGTTTAGGGTTTAGGGTTTAGGGTTTAGGGTTTAGGGTTTATCCCCGGCTGTGAAGTTAGTCTCAGGTTTGGGTTTGAGGTTTTTTGGGGGCGGACTCTACCTTGGAGCCTAAGCTTGCACCCTTGGGTTTGGAGACCCTGTCTCAAGATCCTCTATAAGGGAATAGAAGGGCCATAGTAGGAGCATATTAGCAATCAACTTGTATGTTTGACGCTGCCCTCAGAAGTGGGCGTGGCTTGTGCTTGGAATGCATGTGTTGCTTTACAGTTTAGGGTGCGCAGATTCTTCAGCAATGGGTTGGCCAATCAATGGGCTGGAAGTTGGGACTAATTACCTGGTTTTGCGCTAGCTTTATTTGCTTCTGTTTACTCAATTAGGGCCCCTATAATTGGGCCTACAGATAGCACGGCGCCCGCAAGAGAAGGACCCCAACAACGACCCTGTAGTTAGAGAACTTCCCAGACTTTAACGGGTCAGGGGACTTTAGAAGGGGGGGCTTAGAAGTAAGGTAGCTCTACTTATATATCCTCATAAGCCCAATGAAGGCATTGATCACCCTACTTGCGAAGTGCCCGATCCTCCAATTGCCCATACTTAGCGGGAAAGGGGACTTAGCAAGTGGGGCTTATACTTGGAGGTTCAGGGTACTTAATACCCCAATTCTAACTGTACTTACAACCCCAATCACAACCATATTAGGGCACTTATAGGGTTTAGGGTTTAGGGTTCAGGGTTTAGGGTTTAGGGTTTATGGACCGTAGAACCCTAAGGGTCCAAGTGCCTCAATACTAGGTACTCGGGCCCCAAAGTCCCTATACCCTATACCCTAAACCCTAAACCCTAAACCCTATCTAGGAGGTACTTTAAGGCCCGGGCATTCCTCATTTAGGTACATGGACCAATAGGGGAAACCCTAAACCCTGAGCCCTAAACCCTAAACCCTAAACCCTAAACCCTAAACCCTAAACCCTAAACCCTAAACCCTAAACCCTAAACCCTAAACCCTAAACCCTAAACCCTAAACCCTAAACCCTAGTAAGTGGGGCTTCTAACCCCCTTCAGCTCTCCGCGGCAACAGGTCGCCGAGCTGGGCCTCCATGGTATGGCTGACGACTTGGTTCAGCTGCTTGAGGCCCTCAGGGGTTTAGGGTTTAGGGTTTAGGGTTTAGGGTTTAGGGTTTAGGGTTTAGGGTTTAGGGGTTAGGGTTAGGGTTTAGGGCTACTTGAGGCCCTCAGGGGTTTAGGGTTTGGGTTTTAGGGGTTTGGGCTTTAGGGTTTCGGGTTTAGGGCTACTTGAGGCCTAAGGGGTTTAGGGTTTAGGGGTTTGCGGATTCGGGTTTGGGGTTTTGGGTTTGGGAGTTTCAAGGTTCAAGCGTGGGTTTTTTTAGGGCTTCAGGGCTTCAGGGCTTCAGGGCTTCAGGGCTTCAGGGCTTCAGGGCTTCAGGGCTTCAGGGTTTAGGGTTTAGGGTTTGTGGCTTCGGGTTTTGGACTTCGGGTTTAAGATTCAGGGTTTAGGGCTTACTTGACGGTTCATGGACATACCAGCTGGTTACTTTTTGAGGTTTTCGCTTTCTACTTACGATGACCTTAGCTGGCACGTTGATGGCCTGCCACAGCTTTTCGGGTGTAGGGCTTTTGGGCTTTAGGCTTCGGGGTTGAGAGTCCCACTGTCTAGGTCAACCCTCAACCCTGAACCCTAAAAGGGGTGGTCCAAAGGCCTTGGATTTCATAGAATAAGCGGGTCTCGCAGTGAGCACTGCCTTTCCTATAGGAAAAAATAGAGTCTTCTGGGTTTGAAGCCACGAAGAGGAGGCAGGTGGCTCGAGCTTAGGGAGGGTTGAGGGTTGAGGGTTGCAACCCTGGCTTAAGGTGTTGGAAGCTGAAGATGTGCCGAAGCATCTGATCAAGAAACGTGATTTCCGAACTATGTATCTTACTTGCCCCTAGGACTCCAACAATAGAAGTGGTACCTACTTCCGTGGCTGCAGCCGACGTATCATCGAACCTGCTGGGGGTTATTTACAGCCCGTGGACTTACAGAAGCAGTCTGGAAACTCCCCCTAAACCCCCAACCCCAAACCCTAAATCTTAAACCCCAAGCCCCAAACCCCAAACCCCAAACCCTAAACCCCAAACCCTAAACCCCAAACCCTAAACCCCAAACCCTAGACCCCAAACGCTAAACCCTAAACCCCAAACCCCAAACCCCAAACCCCAAACCCCAAACCCTAAACCCTAAACCCCAAACCCCAAACCCCAAACCCTAAACCCCAAACCCCAAACCCTAAACCCTAAACCCTAAACCCCAAACCCCAAACCCCAAACCCCAAAGCCCCCAGTCCTCGAAGAGGCCGAAGTGATGGAGGGCTCAACACGACCGTCTTGGGTTGGCCGCAAGTTGGACAAGGTGTCAGAGGGGTTCCCCTGCTACTCTAGGGTTTAGGGTTTAGGGTTTAGGGTTTAGGGTTCAGTAGTACTACCCCACTCTCTACTCCCCCCCTAGATTCCCCCCATAATTAAGGCTACTCAGGGATACTTAAGCCGAATCAAATCTATCTGGGGGGGGGGGCGGGGCGGAGTATAGAGTGGGGTACTAGGGGAATCCATGAAGGTTTGACACCTGCGCGTCCTAGGTTTGGCGCTACGGGTTGAGGAATCAGGGGGCACCCTGAACCCAAGCCCTAAACCCTAAATTCCAGGGAGAGCAAGACTTAAACCATTGGCGTGGTGTAGTTTGGTAGGGTTCGTGGTTAGCGTTTAGGGTTGTTCTGGCTTAGGGGTTCAGGGGTTAGAGATCAGGGTTTAGGGTTCAGGGTTTAGGTTTTAGGGTCTAGGGTCTAGGGTTTTGGGGGGGGGGGGGGGGGGGCTTGGGTTTGGGGGACCTAGCGGATGCTTAGAAAGTGGGTATCAGGTGCGGTGCCTGGCAAGTGCTTGTCCACTAGTCCCGAGGCCGCAGGCCTAAAGTCTACAACCAGCCCTGCTGACGCCGAACCCTAAACCGCAAACCCTGGAATTTCCCGAAGCGCGAAATTCTGACCAAAACATTCTCTTAATGGGAAGTCTCTGTGATAGCATTCTCTTCATAGAAAAGGGGCTTGGTTTAGATCAGCCCCGATCTAGTTGGGACAGAGGGAATTGTACCCGAAGTAAGGATATCTGGGCTACCCTCGGGTCTAGCTATGGCTGCTGTGTGCTTCGGGGGCATGGATGACGGAGGAAAAGAACGCTAAACCCTAAACCCTAAACCCTAAACCCTAAACCCTACCTGGAGAACCTCTGTAGCCCAAAATAAAGGGTAACCGCTCCTAAACTAGCGCCTTTGCTAAAGTAGCCAACAAAATGTAACACTGCTAATATTACGCAAACCAAAAGAGTCACTGTGCCCATTATTACACCCGAACCACTTTTGAATGAGTTCCTAACAGACCTGAAGGTGGTTTACTCTTGTCTAATGGGTTATATATGGGTTGATGGTAGGGTTCAGCTTTCTTGTCCCCCTTCTACATAGCTACAAAAGAAGAGC